GTGGTGTGGAAGCACACGACGCTCTACCACATCACCAAGGGAATGTACGGCACACAACGAAGAACACAGAGAGAACAACAGCACAGAAATGTGGGAGATAAAGTTTTGTTCTTCGCGCACCATCCGCTAATATTGTCTTCTGTTGATCACTCCTGGTAAATAAAGAACACTCTGCGTCACAAAGGTACGAGTTTTCAATGACAATGAGCCGTTTAATTGCTGTCGTGTGATTTGCTTAAGGAGCCATGCCCAAAGGGTTCAATATTATGCGTGGCATATGGTACGCTTGCGCGAACTTGGAAAGGCAAGAGCGCGGCAGCCTGATGCACGTTACAGTTTCGGGCGTGATACGTAGAGACAAGCGCGCGCGTCGAACAATTTGCGCGGCGCGGAGGCTCCGTCTCTGCGCGTTTCCGTTTACAACGAACGTGCAACCTGTGGATTCTCAGTCGAAGACGCTAACCACTGCGCCACACCAACACGACTCCGTTTACAACGACGACGCCTGCTGCACCCGTGCCCCGCGTTTTCGTTGCGAGGTCCTTTAACGTTCATCGTGGTTAACAGCGCGAAACACCCGGACAGGAGCGATAGAAGGACACGGTACAGCGCTGTACAGTCCTTCTATCGCTCCTGTCCGGGTGTTTCGCGCTGTTAACCACGATGAATGCTCACCAACTAGCCCAGTTTTCCATCTTCCTTTAACGTGCCTGCAAGGTCGTCTTCACCCAAAGAAACGGAACAGGGAACGGACACAATTGACGCCACGGCGCGCGCTGGAACGTTGCGACAGCACAATTGCTGTTTCTGAAATAGGGGGAATTGGCCGTCGCGGACGAAGTTTTGCCCGGGCATGTTCGAAGGGAAAGCTTGTTTTAAAGTGCAGCCCACTTTAAACCTCCCTGGAAGTTGCAGCTCGTGCATACAAAAGCCGCTGCGTATGCGGTTGCCATAAGTCCATCAAAACGTGCAGTCGGCGTCGAAAGTTAAAAAGACCGCATCACAACTTAAAAAAAAAAGTTTCCGCGCTGCTTCGATAAGTAGTTTAGAACTGTTGTAATCAAAACGCGCTGATACGACTGAATACAAAACTGCCGGGAAATGGAATGTTTTGTACACAACTTGGGACTTAACGTTGCGGCCACATTTGCACCTCCGTCATTCATCGACTCCCAAGTCACAATTAAGTGCGCGATTTCATACGCGTCCCGTTTCGATGTATAAGAGCAAGCAGCACAGACGTGTGTTCGTGCATGTTTTTTTTTTTTCGCTCATGCATTCATCCATCATACATACTGTGCGCGCACGTTTGCAGAGAAACACTAGCATCGGAGATAGTCAAGTTGCGGTGTTAAATAACAAAATTACAGCTAACTTGCGCCTGAAGTAGTACGAAACCAAACACGAGCACTGCGCGTGTCCTACTCGGCACACATTTTTAACAGCGGAGGCGACCTAAAAAAAAAAAAAAAGGAATTGGTGTCCACAGGAATTGGGCAAGCCTTACTGTGCTTAGCACAACAGCTGCGAGTGTTAACGAAAACTCTGCTCGGTGAAGCAGAGCACGGGAAACAGGCGAGAGAGAGAAAGAAGGAAGAGAAAGAAAGAGAGAGAGAATAAAGAGAAATAAAGGTAATATGTACACACATAAAGAGATAGATGAAAAGACAAAACAAAGAAACTAGAAGAAATAACTACATTAAAAAGAGAGTGCAAGCAAAAAAAAAGAGAGAAGTAAATAGAAACAATGAGAGAGAGAGAGAAGCAGATAAAAGAGAGAAATTAAAAAAAAGGAAAAATAAAGATGGAAATTTAGAAGCGAGAAAACAAAAGGAAGGAAAAAAAGAAAACAATTAACAAGTAGACAAAACAGATACCAGGAACACAGAAAAAAGGAGGAGGGAAAAATAAAAATATAGAAACAAAAGAGGCTACCTAGCTCCGCTCTCCTTTCAGGCTTGGCAACGCTAGCGCGATGCCATATTTTTTTTTTCCGATTCGCCCAGCAGGGTAATTTGCAAATGCTGCTTAGTTAACGTTTAATTAGTAACTTATTAGTAATACGATCTTGGATTTAACGTGCCAAAACCACGGAATAAGTGTGAGGCACACCGTAGTGGAGGGCTCCTGAAATTTCGAGGCCATCTGGCGTTTTTTTTTTTTTACAGTGCATCGCGAAGCACGTGCACTGTGCATTTCACCTCCGTCTAATTGCGACCGCCGTGGGAATCGAACACACGACCTTCGGTGCAGCATCCGACCACCCAACCGCTGTTCCATCTGTAGTGGACAACCTTGGCGAAAAATATCCAACTGCGAGAATCGCGGCACTTTTTCTGGAACATTCTATTTCGTCTCGGCTAACTGGCAATGCGCTAAGCTGGGTAATTAACAAATATTGCTATATAATCAACTTTAAGCATAGTTAGTCTAACGAAAATTATACATTAGAACGTGGTAATGCTTGATCAGCAACGTCGAATTATTTCATCGATGCGAATTGCCATGCTTCATTTTTTTTTAGCTTTTGTTTAAAGTGCGTGGAATTTTAAAATATACATGCTGCCCCGCCGCGGTGGCCTAGTGGCTAAGTTATTCGGCTGCTAACCCGCAGGTCGCGGGATCGAGTCCCGGCTGCGGTAGCTGCATTTTCGATGGAGGTGAAAGTGCTGTAGGCCCGTGTGCTCGGATTTTCGGAGCCCTCAACTAAGGCGTCTCTCACAATCATGTGGTGCTTTTGGGACGTTAAACTCCACAAATCAATCAAAAATATATATACTTAGCACACGCTATCTATCAAAAAAGAATGCGCCAATGCATTCGTTTTCAGTAAGTCCGGTTGCGGCGGCTGCATTTCCGATGGAGGTGGAAATGTTGTAGGCCCGTGTGCTCAGATTTGGGTGCACGTTAAAGAACCCCAGGTGGTCAAAATTTCCGGAGCCCTCCACTACGGCGTCTCTCATAATCGCGTGGCGCTTTTGGGACTCGTTTTCAGTGAGCGAGTCGTGATGGTGATTCGATCGTAGAATATTTGCTCTGAATCAGGCAATCTTTCTTGTGCCTGTTTGTATAAGTGTTATCGACCTTGATTAAAAAAAAAAAACGCTGTTCATGTGACGCTAAGTATAGATGATTTCTTTTCTTCCTGCTGCACGTACTAGGCGGAAATGTTGTAGGCCCGTGTGCTCAGATTTGGGCGCACGTTAAAGAACCCCAGGTGGTCGAAATTTCCGGAGCCCTCCACTACGGCGTCTCTCATAATCATATAGTGGTTTTGGGACGTTAAACCCCACAAATCAATCAATCTGCTGCACGTACTTTACCTGGGAGCTCGCGCATTGTCCGCACCTGCGGCAATCGAGCGCTACTTCCGTCGCGATGAGGTCACCACTTTCTTGATAACGCGTGCGGCGCGCCGTGCGTCATCTTTCATTCGCACTTCCTCGCCTATGACTCGGTGGTGCAAACATCCTCAGCACGGTCGCTAGCGTTCTCACGGACACTTTTACTCGAGAAATGTATGCATTCCCCGAGTGTACGTGAACCTAATTGTCTTAACAGTCGCATTTTGTGATAGTTGCCAATCAGGTCGACTCGTTTACCTTGACTACCATTCCGCTTCACCTGTCTTGTAATGATTTAAGATATTACGGATGTGACCTGAGACGACGGTTCACGTTTAGTTAGGCAAGTTGGCCAGACATGCATAGTGCGTGCATCACGCGTCGTTTTTTTAAACCCTTCGTAGCGCGGAATTTAATTGTAATAATAACAATAATTGTTGAAGTTTAACGTCCTAAAACCACGGTGATTACGAGAGACGCCGTGGTGCAGGGCTCCGATAATATACCGGCCACCGAAATCTGAGAACACGCGGACATCAAACATTTTCGCCTCCATCATAAAATGCGACAGCCGTGGCCGGGATTCAATCCCGCGACCTCCTGGTCACAGGATATATGTTGTGTTTATGCGTAAAAAAGAGCTTTAAATCTCTTTCCCCCTCTATTATTGCACGCCTTTCAAAGGCGTCCGTGTACGTTGTTCACTTAGAGAAACGGTGAAATTGTGTGAAATTGAAGGCGCGCGACGCACGGTACAATTAAACGTGTATACGTCTTAAATATACTTGTATCACAGTCTTATATCTAAGTAAATTTGGGCAAATGTTGCTTTTTAAGCGTCGCCTTGTTGCCCTCTTAATTACACGACCACCGCCGCGCTGAGTACAGCGCGCACGAAAATAGCATGAGCTCCCGTCGTGCCACTTCTCCGCATAGTTCCGGCGTCACGCAGGGCAACTCGCTTTGGCGAGCGCTTATGTGTTACGCTTGTTGATCACCCGTGTCGATCGGCCGTCGAAAACCCCCAACAGGTATTGCACGGGCGCTCGCTTCGTTCGGTCTGGCGAATGCGCGGGAACCGCTGACAACGACGCCACTGCCGCTCGCCTTTGTCGCGTTTGATAAAAAAGGCTGCGACCCGGCTTGTAATGAGCTAGCCGTGCCTAAAGAGTTGACGAGCAGCAGACGGCTCAAGCGAAACGAGGCCTAACGGCGAGATCGGCGCTTCCTCTCTCACCCTCGAACAGCGGCCGACGCGTTCCATTCTTCGCCCACCTCTGGGCGCCGCACATCACAAAAACATCGGGACCGACGTCATCGACGTAACGGGTCTTTATGACTTTTTGACTAGAATAGTTGCACCCACTCCACAATTTTACACCTAAAATTGTAACCTAAAAATGTCACATTTAGTAACTTACCGATTGTTGCGACATCTATGAGTTAAAAAAAATAACCAAGAAATTGTTTTTAAATTAAAAACTTCAAAATATGGTTTATTAAACACCTTCTAGATGACGCCCCAACATTTATATATTCTAAAACGGGTAGCATAAAAGAGTGTTGTTGGTGTGAGCGTTTCGCGGCTGTCGCTTCAGAAGGTTGCGAGAGCGACGGCGCCGCTCGCTTTCCTCGGACGAAGTGCGCGGCGGCTCACTGTCAAAGTAAAGGAGCGCGCCCGCCGACTGCGGCTTCGCGGACACATTGCGCGTGCGCCGCGGCCGTTTTTCGCGCATTGTGGGATCGCTGGCTTGACCCGCATAATTAGTCCTCGCGAAATCGGCCGTTCCGTGGGGGCCGGGAAAACGAAGTAATTCGGAGGCGGTCTTTGCCGATCTCGGTTGAGGCCGCGGAGACGTCCGAGGCGGCCGTCGGTATGCGCGGATCACGGCGCTACGAGGGCCACTGAGCCCCTGCGGCAAGAACCCCACCGGCGCAGAGAAACCCCGACCGAGGAGAGCTCCGGAGAGAGAGCGAGGAGTACCCCGCAGACATGCCGAGCTTCACGGGCACCGTCAAGCTGAAGATATGCGAAGCCGTGGAACTCAAGCCGACAGACTTGACTACACGGCACGCGAATGTGGTCGGCTCGAAGCCTCAACTGATGCTGATAGACCCGTACGTGTCCATCAATGTCGATGATATCCTCATCAGCCGATCCAGCACCAAGCAGCGGACCTTCAAGCCCGTCTGGAACGAGTACTTCACGGCCGAGGTGCACGGCGCCCAGAACCTGGGGTTCACCGTGTTCCACGCGGCGCTGCCTTCGGACGACTTTGTCGCCAACTGCAGCGTCTCCTTCGACGAGCTGGTCAACTCGGCCAAGGAGCAAGGCAGCAACGAGAACGACATTTGGGTGAGCGCCATTCCTTTTTTTTTTTTTTTCAATCCCTCCCCTCCCACCCCCACGACGGTGGCCGCGCGGCCGCTCCGATCCCGGCGGATAAATCGGGAAACGTTCGGAACGCCCATTCACTCCCCGCTACTGCGATATCCGTCAAGCTGCAGCCGATCGCGCGATGTGTTGTGTGTGTGCACTGCGCGATTATCGGCCGTGCGATCGGCCGGCCGCCGCAGGGACCCAAAATCGCGAGATTATTGTTTACCTTTGCGACGTCGAGCGTCTCAAGGTCTCCCGCGGTGGGTTCTTGTGAAATCGCCGCCAGCCCCCCCCCCTCGCCCGCCCGGCTTCACTTGTTTATATGCTCCCCGCTAAGGCACGTTTGAGAACGCGGGGGCCGCAATTAGGCGCACGCTGTCGAGCTAGGCTCAGCCGAGCGTGCTTGATTGCGGTCAATTTGGCGGCTGCGCGCGACGGAGCGCTAAAGATTTCGCGCCGTCTCATTGTCTCCGGGCGATGGCGTGCGACCGATATCGCGGCCTCGACGAGTAATTTGAGACGTACCTCCCGCAAATGCGCGGCCCGCTTGTGCGAAGGAAGGCGTTGGCGATAGATCGCGTACCCCCCCCCCCCCCCTCCCCACCCTCGTGGTTTCACTTTTACACGCCATGTGCTCTACATTACACAGTTTACACATCAAGATGTTCATTAACATGAGGGTGTTCATTCAAACTCATCATTTGTTACTAGTACTGCAGTGCACGAGCATCGGTGGACATGATATACATCCTTCGATCACCCATGAAAGGCATACAAAACGCGTTTGGAAGACTTTAGTTCTGGCACAGCTAAGCATGCATGCAGTCATAATAGGGAGTTTTCGAATAGGGGCCCTAAATGTTCGGGGCCCCAAAGAAATAGCGTCACGACAACTGCGCATGCGCAAATACCCAAACCGCGTTTCAGGTTTTGGGTTGGGGGCACACTCGAATTCAGCGGGAGCCCCAAAGCCTGCCCCAAAAGTTGCGTCAGACAAACGAGATGGCACCCACTGAAGTGACAAGACCGAGAATTGGGAGAGTATCCAAAACACCGCAGACCCTGTTCGAAAAGTCTTCGCTCCTGCTTGGACCCAAAGTGTGCATACGCAAAGGGCTTTGTGGCTCCTATTCGAAAACTCCCTAGTGCTGCATGCAACATAACTACGGAGAGTCTGTTATATAATAATCCAAGATTGCATATTTACTTAGTGTGAAAGTAGCAACCGATACAGAAAGGAAAGATGACACAAGAGCACTAATAATAGTAATCATCTGCACTAAGAGGAAAAGCTGGATGGCATGCCGGACAGAGCAGAAAGTGAAAACCCATGCACGTGGTATGCCTAGCAGCTTGCGATGGTGGGTTATATTGGAGAAATCGTGCATGCTGCTTATAATAATGCTGGCTTGCTCAAAATGCAAGCCATGTTAAAGATCCACCTATTAAATAATGGAAGATTCAGTCAATATACAACCCATCAATATATGCACCTAGCAGTTTTATTTCTTTGCTCTGTAACGCAAGTTAAATCTCACATATTCACTTTTGCACTTCCCACTACCCACCTTTTTCTTTTTTTTTTCTTGAGAAACTATGTTCTTGGCATACTTTTTTTTTTGGCTTTGTTCCATTTGAGGAACAAAGATGAACTGATCCTTTAAAACATTGGCCGTAGTCAGGATGATGATGATGAAGTAAGTGCTCAAGGCAGTTCAATTTCATGCACTGCACCGTTAACATGACATCAACATTTGGACCTGAATGTATCAGTATCGCAAGTTCACACACCACTTACCACTAAATTATTAAATATGCTGTTTGGTGAATGCTTCTAAAGTTTTAAGTCACTTCCATATTTTTATCCTGCTGATTAATAAGAGACTTCTTGCACTGACCCATCAAATGAGGGATGTGTTTGGAAGCAGGGTTTTTTTTTGGAGACTTCATCAGAGAGGTTTTCTGTCAAAAGGTTTCCTTCAATATGAGGCACGGTGAATTTGTTGGAACCCTAAAGGCAGTGGTCCCTGTTCACTCATGCAGAAAATTCATGATTCAGGTGGAATTCGTTTATTATAGGGATTCCAAAATCAAGATGGGAGCCGACAGATAGAAACACGTAGCTGGACAATCGGGGTCAACTTTGGAATTGTAGGCATGAATTTATGATAATGACGACAAATATGTAAACTGCAGAGACCTTTACATATAAGTCATTATGCGTGAACAATGATGGGAAATATCTAGAAGAGGACATGAGCAAATTATCAATGCATATTATTAATGATGCAGCCAAAGGATTTGTAATGGAATCTTTTCATTGTTATGCTTATATTGCTGTGGGAACGTCCCATGGTAGAAGCCTTGAAAGACCACAACACAATTGGTCAATGACAGGCTTTTGGCAGTGTAATTTGCAGTCTTTTTTTTAATGGGAGAAGGCCGACAGTTTTGAACAGCGATGTATTGATTGCAATTAATTGTAAAAGTGACAGAAAGGAAAAGTAGCTAGGCAAGATCGGTTATTTATAAATATAGGCTGGAACTCAATATTATAGTCTTGTATTTATAACTTAGAACTCTATATGTTTTATGAAATTTTGTGGCTCCAAGGGAATTAAAAGGGCCAAAGTTCAGTTGGTGATCCTTTGTTAGACCTGTCCTGATCACTTCTAATCATTAAGTAAATATAAAAGTAACTTTACTTCGGTGTCAGAGACACTAGTGAGTACAGACTAAAAAAGCAACAACAATAACACTGTTTGAGCTCATTTTTCTCAAACTGCTTAAATAGAAGCCCTGAGTGCAGTTAGCAATAATTCAAGGTTTACCAACATGACCGGGTGAATTTTTCCACAACACGAGGAAGGAACAGTTAAGTGCTATCTATTCCATAGTGCACTGTGCCAGTTTAAAAATTACAAACCTACATGCTGAATTCTCAGTGCTAATTGTTTTCATTACTATATCTGATATCTGATTGCCACTTCACAGAAAATGATTCTTCGTTTATACACATTAAAAGTACATTTATACAACATTTGTGGAAATTAGCTTTGCCTGTCAGCACTATGCTATATTTATTTAAAACTGCATTTACTTTTGTATAATTATGCTGATGACAGTGCACATTGAAATGCAAATGTTAGAAGGGGAAAATTTAAATTTTTTCTGAATGTTTATTTTCCTTCTGCTGTGATCCTTTTGTTAAGTGCTTCTCTTAAGTTGTGAATTTATGATGTTGCTTAGCAACAGCAGCAGGAGCTTGTGTAGATGGAGCTTGTGCAGTCATGCTATATGAGCTGCAGCATTAAAAAAAAAAAAAAAAGAGGAAGGGGGCGCTCTTGGAAGGCATTCTACACATCTGGAAAACCATCATCCACATTGCCAATTTTCCGAAAAAAAGAAAAGGGAACTCACAGAGGCATTTTGTTTAACTGATAATGTGATTAAGTTTGAAGAAAACCTAGTGACATTTTCCTCTTTTTGTGCAGTTTGTGCTAGTATCATTTTCTAGCGAAAACATTTAGTTATGTTGCCAAATGCCTGTATTGGGTGCATGACAGAATGATGATTAAAAAAGAAATTTCACATTTGGCAGATTGACCTCGAACCCGGAGGCAAGATCCATGTGGTCATTGAACTTATCTCAGGTAAGTCACAAAAGAAAGCTTTTGTGTAGTTTCATTTTGGTGTCTATTGTACTGCTTTATTTAAGGGCAAGAGCTAAATGCATTGTGTAAGAAATTGGTACAACAATCGGACACTCTAGAAGCCAGCAAAGGACAATGATTTTTCGCCGACATATTCAACCCATTAACAAATATGTCAATAAACTGGCGCATAGTAACTTAAGGAGCAGACTGATGCATGTGAGAATGCCTGGAGACTGAAATCCAATGAAATCACCTTTGTGCTGCTCAGTGGTTATACTTGTGAGCTATTCCTATGGCGATTAAGTGAAATTTTTGATGAAATTGTTGTAACCTTATCAGAACGACATGGGAAATGTGAATGGCATATAGAATTGACTATCCACTGACATGTTTCGGTAGTCAAATGAAACACACGTCTATAAAGGAACACCTGCAGGTGTATCACAATAACGGTGATTATAATATTGGCAGCAGGCTTTCATAATGGATTCCACCTGTTAACTAATGTACAGGTGATGACTTTTTGTTCCGTGGCAATGAATTTTCACTCGGGAATGGAAAGCAGGATATGGAATAGGAGGATTTGTGAAATTGTGTTAGAGTGTAAATTTTTCTGCTGTTACACCTAACAGTCCTGTTGCGGAGATTCTGATGTGCTTAAACTCTAGGAACGTCAAACCCGTTACTGCTGGCGACTGCAAGCTACTGATTGCTTGCAGCATAGCGTATGGCTTCTAACAGGTGAAAACAGCAAGAAACAATTAGGCATTTGGTGGTGTTCTCATGAAACATACATCAATTCTGCCATTTTTTAGAGATACTTCTGGTTAACAGAGTGTTTAAAGTTTAATTCTAGAAGGTGAAAACCTGCATATTAATAGAAGTTCAGTGCAAAAAAAAAAGACCCTGGTGAAATTTTTATGGTCAAAGTTTACCTAAAGCATTTTTTTACAGCTACTCTGATAGCCTAGATGTAGTTTTTTTGTGAATCGATACTAAGCTAGGCGCAGTTTAGTTTGGCATCAGTTTAAATGCCAAGGCAAGGTCAGATATATCAATCAATCAATCACTGTTGTGAACATTAAGCATCATAATTGTTTTCATTAACAAGAGTGTAGTCACAACTTTTATGTATATTGAGTTTAGGTTTCCTTCTGCATTGTTCTTGGTATCAACTGCTGATTTTGCTAGGCTTTTTAAAAATATTTTGATGTTTAGTTATATTGTGATGTGTTTTACCTTTCACTTTAAAAGGACACTACAGTGAAATGATGAATCGGTTTATATTGACTACTTGTACCCTGAGAACTTTAATGTTAATTTTGCCATCATATACAGAGGGAAATGAAGGTCGAAGTTTTCATTTTTAAATTTTCGTGCCGAAATTGCCGCGCATGACGTTACAGATTTAAAAGTGTATTTTTCACATTTGCTGATATTGGCTCAATAGGAAATTTCCTGTAATTTAGGCTTGTTAAGTCTGTGGTTCCCTCGGATGTCAATGGACTTGATTTTCTCCTAGCAAGAATGACATAGGACCTAGAAGATGTCCACCAAAATCTATTACGTCAGGACTTTTGCTGTGTGAGTTTCGACATGGCGTTGCCACCCGCATATTTTATAGTGTTTTCTTGCTTATAAAGCATCTTTTCGGGGCAAGCATGGCGATTTTCGAATTGTTAAATAGTAATTTACAAATATGAGAAGAATAATTTTTTTCTTCAGCGTTTTTTAAGGATCAGTCTAAAACATTCAGTGAGGGAAAGTTGCGATACAAAAGCAGGATGTTGTGTATGCAGCTGCAGAATGGCCAGGAAACGTTTTGACTAGCTTATTTCTTTGCGGAGCTGAACAACTGCTACGCATTGTATATCAAGCAGCTAGGTGACCTTTACCCATCTTTTTTCCATTCCTGCCTGCAACAAAAAAAAAAAAAGCAAAGCTCAGGTGAAATAAGTTTACTACTTTCTTTTTCGGAAATGGTGTGTAATACAGCGTACAAACGCACATGTGAATCAACCACGATAGAGTTCGTGCTGATATGTCCAGCCACGTATTACTGTGGCTCTCTTGCATCTTTGGGAGGGGCCCGATAGCGGACGGCGGATGGTTAACATAGTGTTTTCACGATAACGACTACGCAGCGGAGAATGTGGTGGCGGAGAAGCCGCGCGAGTTCAAGCAGCGGCAGGGCCTCAACCGGCGCCGGGGGGCTATGCGGCGTCGGGTGCACCAGGTCAACGGCCACAAGTTCATGGCCACCATTCTGAGACAACCCACCTTCTGCTCTCACTGCCGCGAGTTCATCTGGTGAGTGTTCGACTCAAAAAGAGGGGCTGTAAACAGGAACGAAAGCCGTGTGAGGGAACTAGGAACAAGACGGAGCATGCAGCACAATTCAACAGTCTGAACTGATAATCTCTCCTCGTAACCCTTTGCGACCCTTTGTATGCTATTGTGGACATCATTTATTTTTGTTAGTTGTGGTGACTGATGGCAATAAAGCCATCAGTTACCACAACTAAAATAAATGGTGCACACAGTAGTGTACAAAGCGTCACAACGGGTTTGTTGAATAAAGGTGTCTTCGCTGTTACAAGGAAACAGAACAAAGCATTTAATGACTCAAACAAATGAAAACACATTCATGTAAGGCAAATGTTCATGTTGTCACACCCTGCGCATGCTGTCCTCTTGTGCTCACACTTTGTTCTCCTCCTCTTCTATAAATATTCAACAGGGTTGTTTACTTAGACGAACATGGCCTTTAGAAAAATGATCATATGCAACAGTACACTGCAAAATAAAGTTAAATGAAGACACATCTATTACGCAGGAAGTTTGGTGAATCCAAAACTCAATGTGTGTTAATCTAAAAATTTTCTGGAACCACTACCATGTTTGTCGAGTTGCTCGATTACTTACAGACAGTTTCTCATTGGTCACGCGAAAAAGGTCCTCGTCCAACCATATGACAAAGCCGAATTCATTTCAACTAGAAATTTTAAATCTTACTGTGGGGCTCAAATAATGTCGTGGTGCTTGATAACTTTCAATAAATATTGTCGTCTATAGGCTAGCTGGTACATGTTGAATGGTTGAAATAGTACAAAACATATAGGATGACTAAATCGACAAAGAGAGAACTAATACCCAGTGCTTGTACGTCTCCGGCTTATTAGCCACCTTGCATATTTCGCACTATTTTAATTGTTTTGTGCACTTGTTCAGTACATATGTTAAAGGGATGTGATGGAGATCGCTTATGCACAGGAAGCTTTCTCGAGGTCAAGGTTTTCAGTGGGAAAGATGTGACCTACCTAAAAGGTCACAGGAAACATATAAATGCTCAGAAGGAACTTGCTACTAGGCAAGGGGGGGCTCCGCTTCATGTCCATTCTTTTCAAAAGTGTGGAAAGGACTGGACTGATATAAGCCCTTTTGTTTGGGCCCCGTTATAGGTGATATGTTGTTTACTTTGCACAGTCTTCGTCCAACCATTATGGTTGGAGTATTCAAAACAAGTCATGACGTATGTGACGATTGATGAAATTGGAATTGTGACTACTGTGACTTCTTCACTGCTGTCGATTCAGAGCTTCGTAATTTTGAAACTTCACATTACTTGTAACTTTCACAAAGTTTTAAGAATGTGCATTAATCATACCTAATTTACACTCTTGTCACTACAATTTGTTTATTATTATTGTGGACATTAATTGGGCACTCCTCTTATCACCTCTGCATGATCACAATGCATTCTTTTCATCATCACCATTGCTTGTGGGGCACATCTTCATTGCTCTTTGTTGCTTAATGCATTTGTGTATTGCTCATGTGTTCCTAGAGATCCTTGAACATAGTGAACGGCATCTTTCCTCTCTTCTTCCTTTAGGGGCCTAGGGAAGCAAGGGTATCAATGTCAAGGTGAGTGTGAAATCATATCTGAAATATTTTTTACCTTGCTGCTTCCTTAACAGCTGGCTCATTCTATGTCAAACGCCCCTGGCATTGCTCTCAGTCCTTTCAGGCTCTACTAAAAAAGATTGTAGGCAATTATTTGAGTCCACTATTTACTAAATACTGCTACGGCATTTCTGGTAGAAAGAATCTTTTTTGTCCGCAGCGATTTGAATGTTGCCTGTAGTGGGCAAAGCTGGGTTGCTGAAAAAAAAAATTCTAAAAAATGCAATGCTGCCGGCAGCACCTTAAATCTTTGCTGGTTGCTAGAAAAAGAATGGCACTTCCTTATTCGCTCCCACTGGTGCACACTACTCTGTCCTCACAAAATTCTTTTGGTGAAGCAGTACTGAGACTCTGCACCTAATTTGACAATCTTATTTGATAAATTCTACAATGTCTATAGACATGATATGACATCTTGTGTCTGGATAGCTGCCAGTAAGCATGTGCAAAAAGTATGCAGAGCAATGACTGAGTAGTTTGGAAGGGTAAGGGGCATGAACATAGAATAATGCATGAAATGTTTGCTTCAGGAAGTTCATTGCATCAAGATCAGCACAGAAGCAAAGCAACAAGTTTTGCTGTCTTGTTTTAAAAGGGAATTTGTCATTAAAATGCCCACTGTAACACTCATAAAGCTATTATTGTTATTGATTCTAAGCATCAATGCAGTTGCCATCATCACCAACCACCGTTTCTGTTAGACTAGGGAAAAAAAAAAAAAAAACCCTGAATCTGCACCTGGTTGCAACCAACCACCTAACGTAATCACATAGCCAGTTATTTTGCTGTCATCTCTCAATGTTTTCATTTTTTTTTTTCATTTTGATTTTTAATGTTCTTGCATGGAATCACTCACTAGCGTCATTTCATTGTGCGACGATCTTGAAAAGTGACTCTTCATTTGGCCATGACTTTTCTTTTTCTCAATCCAGTTTGCACATGTGTAGTCCATAAACGATGCCACGAGTTCGTCGTGACCAAATGCCCCGGCATGAAAGACAGCACGAATGACGAGGTAAGTTAAATCCAACGTTGATGCCCAGAGTTTGACCGTTAGTGCACAAAGTTTAATGCCAGTGGCGCTAAGTATTGCCTATACATCTTCACACTGTAGCTCTTGCTTCACTTTATGTGTTTCAGGTGCAACACTGCAGTTTATGATGCATTCATTCTAATGCTAAATGAAAAGTTGCTTATCATTAATTTCAACTGTGTTTACTGAGACAGGGACTTTTGTCTCCCTTTTACTCATGTGGTCTCCTATATTTTGTATTTGTCTGTTTTCATGACGTCTGGCTCTCTTCAAAGCTTTGTGTAAGCTGCTAACTTCTGTGCTACGCTAAGCTGCTAACAAAAAGTCACATTAAAAATGTATAAAAGCATCAACGTGCTATTGGAAAAGCATGTGTGGCACTCTGTAGGCAATTGTTCCTCTTTTGTGGTCGTTCATCTCTGAACGGTTTGTCGGGTGACTGATATGTTGGACATGCTGTTTGACTGTGTTGTGAATGTATGTTGTGCATACTGTACAGTACACGCTCGTTCATGTCCGCAGCTGGCAGCGGGCAGCCGGTTCAACATCAACATCCCCCATCGGTTTGTCGTCCACAACTACAAACGGCCAACCTTCTGCGACCACTGTGGTTCCATGCTGTATGGCCTGTTTCGACAGGGGCTCCAGTGTGAAGGTGTGTTGCAGCATCATTACTACACTGCATCTCGTTTGACCTGTAACAGTGACGTTTGATTTAGTTGAGTGAACGCTAAAGGCAAGCTGAAGTTAGTTGATTGTGTGGTGGCACGATGTTGTGATTTCTACAGAATAAGAAGGTTTATTATGAACAGTATCGTGGGTGTCGGCAAGGGGGTGCGAAACGGACACATGCCTCCTTCGAGCAACACCAGAACTTGCCCCCACCTAAACTATACATACTAACACTTCCCCCTGCCCCAGCTGCGATGCAACACAGATATGCACCCCTCCCTCCCCGAATACAAAATTCTGCCGACGCTCATAAACAAAATAAGCAAATGCTCAACCTTTTCTCTCGGACTTGACATCCCGTGTGCGGTGCTGGCGGCATCAATATGACAACTTGTTCAGCATATTTATTTTGTATCGCAGCCTTTTTTTTTTCTCTCGTAAGAGTTTATGGGGATAGTGAAGTTCTTACTTCGTAGTACAGTGCGATTATTTTGGGAAATACTATTTGATAGGTACGAGTAACACTCGGTACACACAGAATGTTTAGTTGACTTTACTTGCTTTGGGGGGTGCAGTCAGTCTATCTTTCTCACAGGAGTCGCTGTTCAGCTACATTGAGACAGGACAAAACAGTTAAATATGTGTGGGAAATCGCAGATCACAGTTTTCGGTGTGTTTACATTGGACAGCTTTGCATAGCCTTGTTTGCTAAGCAGAATTTAACAACTTCATTTGGTGAGGAGCAGGAATTACGTAAGATTATTCTTTAAAAATCGTATATCGTTGTATAGTCTATACAGTACCATGATAATGCCATTGTTGAACGAGAGCTATTTTATTGCAGCATCAGTGCAATAAACTTGCGATAGTGAAAACAAGTGAAGAGTCGTACTTGAGCTGTGATAGGCAGACTGCACTGTACAAGATTACTCCGTGTTCGCTATATTGAGCTATATGACTCTGTCCCAATTTGTCGCAGCATGCAACATGAATGTACACAAGCGCTGCCAGAAGAACGTCGCCAACAACTGCGGCATCAATCCGAAACAAATGGCCGAGATCCTCAGCGCCATGGGCATCTCCGGCGACAAGCTTACCAAACGCAAGAAGAAAGTGAGTCATCTGCATATGAAGCCTTTCCCTCTCGCCCCTCTGTCTTCATCATTTTCTAATGTTACCCGGTTTTTTGGAGAGCCCCTCCATAATAGGTGCCAGTTAAGAGGGCTGGATTAGAGAGTACAGCTCTTCCCCTCTTCCCTCAGCAGTGACTACTTGGGCATGCTGCCTATGGTAACCATGCAGCCACGAAACAGTCCTCTGAGGTCAATACAAATGTTTTCTAGGACCTGCCTTTAAGCGCCCATTAAGCCACAGACGAACCTCAGCTATGAAAATAATGTTACTAAAGAACGTGGGATCAGTAGTGTATATTGTTATCATTGCAGCATACTTTTTTTTCATTGCAAATATGTACAGTTGTGGGTGGAATTGAATGATAATGAGCTAACATGATTGATTAGTCAGTGGCTGCAAAGCTAGCCTTAAGTTTCCAGTACGACGTCCTTCGTGATGTAATTAATCTAAGAGTTTATGCCGTTCTTTGTGTTTACTTGACTGCATTGCCTCGTGTCTATAAGTAGATTTAAACAGTGTTCGCCATATGTGAATTTAATTTTTTTATTTACCTTGTTTGATGATTTAGGGAATGTACTAATTAGCCATTGCACTGCACGTGCATTGGTTTGCGAGTGGCCCAGCCCTGATTATTATGAAAAGTTCCCTCATAGAATTAGTCCTAAACAATGCTTGCGTTATGTAGTATGCCTTTTACTGCATTCTGCTGACGTGTGTAGAGCAGACGAGCGGGCTAGACGGTGTGGTAGTTGACAATGCCGCATGTGTGGGTCGGCTCGTGTCCTGTCTGCCCCTTTAGAGCCCCATTTTTCTTTTTATTTTCTTCAGGCTTTCTTTATATGTTTCAAATACTGAGGGCCCTGGACAGAAATTTCATCGATTGATGAGCTGCTTTGAGCAATCTTTCGAGCATTCCAACCTAAGCAATCCAAATGAAGGAAGAGCTAGGCTCTGGTAACTGGTGCAAAGGCTGGCAGCGCTCTATGCTGCAGCTGTTGGAATGTGCTCCTTTGGTTTAGTGTGTGTTCATTAGGTTCAGTCATTTACAATTTTTGTCTATTTAGTGGTCTGCATTTACTATTGATTTATCCTATATGCAAATGTATTGTTACAGATTTGAAAAGCTAAGGTCAGTGAGTAAGTCTGTCTGAGTCTGTCTTTGCTTGTTGTAAAAAGCCTCTATACATGTAGGATATGCTGTCCACTAGTAACTATTGTTTTGTGGTGATGCAATACACGAGTCATATGGTACGTGGCATACCACTTAGTCGAACAACAGTGAAAGAATGAAACAGCGAAGAGGAAGCTCTTATAACTTAAATTACAGGCTTCGAATTAAGCAAGATCCTATGACGGTGCATATGTCAAAAACAGTACAAATATTCGTTTGTGCGTACTACTAGTACGATTGTAAGGTCAGAAACAACACTGATGTAATGGTTCATGACACGATCTCAGACTAGATTATGTTCATACCTTTGTGTTGCATGGCTGTTCTCTACAAAGAAGCTACAGATAAGGCTACTGTCCCTAGATGTTTAAACTGCAAGCTATGTAGAACACATTTAAACTGACAGTGTAAATCCATGAAACTTGGCAGTTCATACTGCCGAGTAAGATGCCGCCACCAGCAGTGGTGCGCCCATGCTTTAGTACACCTGTGTTGCTTGTGTTCATAGCTTCAAATATTCTTTTATAACACTAAGCACTTATGCTTCAGTATAGTGGCATACTTGATAAAAAATGAAAGCAAATAGTTGTCACAATAAAAACAAAAAATAATTTAAAGCGGTCATTAAGCTAATATCTGTGTCGAAAATATTTCTTGCACCAGAAGGAGGGTAGCATCGCATAACACTGATAGTAAATGCTTTTGTCTAGTAAAAGGTTAACGTCTTGTGTTTCAGTCATTTGGAGTTCCGGCTCCGGTACTTCGTCTCGTTGCGACATTCGCGTGTGGTGATAAGCTGTAAGAACGTGCCAGAGTTTTATCGCAGCATTTTGGTTGCCAAGTTTTTATATCTCTGCAAATTAGTTGCTGTATACCTTGTTTCCTTTCTTTCAGTTTTATGGGCCCGTGAAGATATGAAATGTTGCCTTTAATTGAATATCATACAAAGATTATATGAACAGTAAAATACATGTTTACAAGACTATGCGTATGCATTTAGCGATGTAGTTTGGAAAAACAACTGTGTCTCTTAAGTATGTAAGATTCCAAATCCTGACACGCACACTTCCGTAGTCTGCCTTTATACATTGCCAATTCCTAATAATTAGAAGAAGACTGTTTCAATTAGAGGATGTCTACACCTGGTATGGCAGTGCAAACTTTACCCACCAGTTTTAATTTTAGTAATAGCCTTTACTTTGCCATAGAAAAATGCCCACAGAAAATTTCGCTGATTTTCAAAGACGCAAGTTCTCAGTGGCATTTTGTCTTTTTAGTTGTGTAATGTTTGTGAAAAATTTTAACGAATCATCTGCCCAGTACACCTGGTAACTCTACCTTCTGTTTTGTGCGTCGTCCTTTGTTGCCAGCATACACTGCAGGTGCTTTTGTCAGTGTTACGATATGCAGGCTTTGACAAATTTTCGTTTTGTCTGGCGTGTTTGTTTTCTGCATTTCTGCATGCCTTGCTGTCCAAAAATATGCCTTTTGCATCATTGCCTTTAATGACTTGGCATAGGTGTTGATTTTCACAGTTGATAGTTCACTGTTTAATTGCAATATAGGCTTCTGTGTGCTTGACAAGAATGAGGAAGCTACCATATTGTCACAGAATGAAATGGGTCAATTTTGACCAAATACTTTTGTTACTTTGATCTCGAGTTTGTATTGTGAGAGCGGCTTTGTTTTGGCCTTTGTTCAGATTGAAGTTAATGCCACGTAGAGAGATAATGTACAGCAGCGTGACATTTCACTCTTGAGTAACGGCATTTATTCAATATTTTAATTCAAAATTTCCTCATTGCACTTCACGAAAAACTACTGCTGTTTTCACCGCTTGTTTCACACATAAGAAACATCGAAAGTTTTTTTCAAGCCGCAGGTTTGTACAACAATTGCAGCACATCAATGCCAGGCTAATGTAGGCATTAGCTACTCTTCGTGACCACCTTTGTGTAGTCTTGGGGATGAGACATTTTTCATATTTAATATGTCACTTAATTGGAGAATGCTTTGTAAACTTTGACATGTAAGGAAGATAAGTAATTTGTTTGCTAGATCTCGTTAATACCGTGTGTGACAAAGAAAACGAGCACTTAAATAATGGTACACTTCTTTCCTTGTCTATATGCGTTGTTCGTGGCTGCGCTGCTGACCTCTGCACAATCGAAATGTTGTGTGCACAGGTATTTTTGAGCACTTTGCTGCTATAAGTAAAGTAATTTTGTGTGGGCACTTTTTTATATATTGTGCACGCAATTTAAAAATGAAATGCTTGCTTCATGTTGTGATCTTCGCTTGTATTTTGGATTGCCAGGTTGAGCCTGATTGCATTGTGTTGTTCTTGCCAGAGTTCACAGGATGTGCCATTATGCTCGCATCATTGCATCTTGAACAGTACTTATGATTGCATATTACAGGTGGTTAGCATATTACAGGTGGTTAGTTAGAATAGTTCTCCAGGTCTCCTGACGTAATCGATGCCTAACTAAGCAAGCTGACTCATTTTAATTCGATGCTAATACCTATCTGCTTATTGTAGGAATACAAGCTGCTAGAAATTAACTGTATTTATGGGAAGAAAATGAAACTTTATTTGGGGACAGCAAAATTAACCCCTTATGTTTTCAAAGGTTTTTTTTCTTTCTTTCCTTCTCGGCCTTCCGTATCTTGTGGTCTTATGTTAACTGCGGCAGTTGTTCAAGCTAGTTATGGGAAACTCTGCAAGTGTATTTAGTATGCATTGGTACTCGTATGTTTAGCAATATTCAGTGCTGCACTAAGTTGGCCAATTCCTTCATGACATATGATGTACTCGTGCCTGACGCATCTGCACATCTTCGTAATTTTGTTCGTATTGTGAAGCACGGATGCCTTTGTGGAGCTTCCTTCCCTTGCACATTCGTTGATGCACGCTTGCAAATGTAATTTTTTTTGCTTTGTTAAGTTTATAATTTTTTTTGAACACACATCGGACTCCCTTCAAGAAGAATCCATTTGCAGCAAATGTCTTGTAATTGGTTTTCTATGTTTAGTTCATGTCGAATTTATAAGGCTACGTTAAGCTGGAGCTTTTCTGATGAGGCTAACAAAATTTGAAGTTCTTCGTTCTTCTTAAAGGGAGTTCATTTGTTTCATCTATGTATCTTTTTTTTTTTTGCTTGTCCTTTTCATTTTGGTTCAGCAAACAGATTGTACTCTAGGGTCCTTTTGTTTCTTGTCTGCAGAGATTGCGCATTCTTGTTGTCCATGTTTGTGTGTGTGTTTGTGATCTGTCGTTCACAGCATTGTTGTCTCGTCTCTTTTATTATTTTTTTGCCCCCCCTTCCTGCCTCGACCCTGCCCTGTCTTGTGTCCACTCTTCAGCAAGGAATATCCCTCACCCAAGAGATATACAACCAGGTGCATATCTCTTTTTCTTCCTATATATCACTTCTTCGCTATCCCGCCATAGTTGGCACATTACATCACTCGTTCACTTCCTCAGCACATAGCAAAGCGCTGCGTTTTGTGCAATGCTCCAGAAGACATGAACCCATGCTCTATGGTCACTCTTGATGCACCGATAGCTCTCAGGTTCTTCGGCTGCTTTGCGCACTAGCCTAGGGCCCAGTTGCCATATTAAAGTAAATCAAGACATTGCTTAGATGTACAGGGTCATCCAGATCTAAAGTGAACACCGTATTGGTATTCAGTACCTTGTAGAAGATGATCTTCAATACATAATTGGAAAAATTGTTATGCTCTTTTTTGACACTGATTAGACGTTGTATGACGGGCATTTTCTTTGTGAAATAGAATAAATGTTCTAGCTTTACCATCTTGACTAATGAGGCGTTCACCTTATGCATGGTCTACTCCATACGTTTGCTTGTATTGGGTTCATACAGTCACAAGCATTACGGCAGTGAAAATGGGAAGGAAGGCCGTTTGAAACAAGCAGATTACACTGATGAGTGGATGTTGCACAGTTGAAGCTTCTACGTTCAGTGGATGCACCCCTTGACAGCCTTCAGTTGTGTGTCGTCTGCTTGAGTAGTTACGTCGCAGCATACAGAATAATGACATGCGTGGATGAAACACTCTTGACTATCCTGTCGTGCAGTGAAAGAGGCTAAAGGTCTTCTGGAGTGCAGGCGACAGCAGACGGTGCAGGAATGCTATCTGAGAGCGCGTCCGCTGAGCGTAAAAACTGCACTAGTGGGCCAGGTTCTTTACCACAGCGCTCTGCTTGTACCGAGCGGTGTGTACTGCCTCATTTATTGCTGTTAGATCTTGTGGCTGCCCACTAGCTTGTAAGTAGTCAACCAACTATTGAACGATAATCTTATAGGTTCTTCCCAACTTTGCCTGGTTAAGTGTTTCTCTGGTCAGGGATACTTAAGGTGTGCTTGTTAGCTGTGCTGACAAGTGCACATAAGCTCGGGTCTCTTCCTCTACTTCACAAATTAATGAGTTGCAGTTTCTTACGTTGTTGGCAGTGGCGTAACTAGGGGGGGGCAAGGGGGTACAAGTGCCCCGGGCGCCACTAGGGAGGGGGCGCCAAGCCGAGTCCTCGGGTTGGCGCCCCCTGGAAAGGTTGTCAATGTTTTTTTCCGTAAAACCGCCTGGAAGGGGGGAGGGGCGAGGTTGTAATGTACGACTGGAAGTGGGGATGGTGGTGAAGGAAAGGGTTGCCGCAATGGCTTTTGCATCGGGAAAAGGATCCTCTATTTTCATTTTGCTGCGCTACCTCCGTGCCTTCCCATGACCCTCGGCTAAGCTTTGTTTTGTGCTCCGCAGCACTGGGTTAGATGAGTTTCAGCGAACCCCACCAGCCTCCCAAACCACTTACTGAAAGCTTCCCTGAAACCAACCACGTACGTAAACAAAATAAAATAAAAAAGTTCGAATGCACCTTTTTTGAGTAAGAACAGAAAACTCCAACGAAATAGCCGATCGTCCAACGACTAATCGTCCACGCAGCGGCGGAAGGAAGGGCGAATATAATCCGTGACCTCGGCACCAAAGGCTAAACAAAGGCGTTTATTCGCAGAGTTCTCTGGAGGAAAGACGGAGAAAGCGTGACACGACGGCGACGTTTGTTGATTCCCTGCATCGCGGGCGCCAGCAAAGCAATAGAAGGGCGGGGGTCAACGTTTCCCACATGCCATCCACCGCCATGGGCAGGTTCATCCTTTGGCCCAAAGAACACGCACCTGCGAAAAAAGCGCAGAGCGTAGTGTACCCGACAGCATGTGCCGACTGCCCCGCTTCGTACGTTGGAGAAACCAAGAACTTCCCTGAAAGAATGCGGCCGCACAAGGATGACCTCCATCAATGGAACAGCGAACGGAGCGAAACGGCAGAACACTCCGACCAGTTTAACCCCCATACCAGACCCGAGGGCGCGGTGTCTAGCTGGTTGCTTTGTTTTGTACTCACCCTGCATTCCTTGGGATGCACAAATAGCGCGAAAGCTTAGGTACGAGAAACTTGGGCCTGGGAAGCGCCCGTGCCGTCAAGATTTTTGCAGTGTGGACTGGAAGAGAACAATGACGGGTAAGGGACTTCCGGAAGTTTGAATAAAAAAAGAAAAATACTATACAAAAACGCGGGCGTAGCTCATCGAAATCAGAACTGGTGGCCCTTGGCCTCCGAAATGGCCCGCCGCGCGCCAGTAGGCAATCGCGGAAGCCTACATTAGCGCTTTTAATGGGGGGGGGGGGCTGTAGTAATAATTATTATTAATAATAATATTATTATTATTAATAATAATAATATTATTATTAATAGGAGCTGTAGTAATAATTATTATTAATAATAATATTATTATTATTAATAATAATAATAATAATATTATTATTATTATTATTAATAATAATAATAATAACAAACATTATCACGGGCATAATGAGGGGCGCGGAAATATATTTGCCCTGGGCGCCGTCCTATCTAGTTACGCCACTGGTTGTTGGGTACAAATGCAAGGCACATTTCTTTATACTGATAGTTTGAACAATTAACCATATAGTGATGCTGCAGAAGGCAACAATGTTCAAAACGAAGGAGGCATAATTGATGCTTTCGTGCTTTGGCACAACAGAACTGTATAAACCTCAAGTGTGTTGGCAGCGCTAAGCAAATTGCCTTTGCCTCCATGTTTTCTTATTTGGACAGCGTTGCTTATTTAGTGTTAGCTACAAATTTGCATCTGCTTGTTGTATTGGTTTATGCCTTTTTCTGTGGATACTTTAGCATATTTAATTGGAAACGACTAAAGGAGGAGGATATTTGAAGAGCTTCTTTTCCTAATTTCTAGATTTCGGTTCTGCTTGCTTTTTTTCTTCCATTTGCAGCATTTGAAGTGTCTTTCAGACACCTCAAATGCTGCAAATGTGTGTTCTTCTTCGGTTCTCGATTACCAGGATAGGTATTAAACATTGTCACATAGAAGAGAAAGTAAGGACGTAGTGTTTGAAGCAATAAATGATGAGAAAATGCATTGTGTTATCAATGGGCAAATGAGCAAAATAGGGAATCGGAACAGTCATCGTTGGCAAGTTGTGAAGGGCAGTTCACAGTTTAGGGTAGTACAGATAAGTATATAGTATACTGAGTAATATTGCATTAGTTCCTCATTCATGCACTCTTAAAAAAAGACGCTCTAAAAAGTAATGATCAGGAGAATTCGCTAACCAGATTTTTGAAAACATCTAGCTTGATAATCATATCATGAACAATAGCCTTAGAAAATTTTACAAAATGGGAATGCATTAGTGAAGTTATCCTGTACTTATGTAGTATGTGTCCAGTGTTGTACGTATGGTTCAGTAGTATGTAGTATAGTATAGCAGTAAGTATGGTTTAGTTTAGTTCGTGCTTTAGTATTTCTCATTGAAACATTTAGGAAAGCCATAACGTTTGTAAACATTTGATTGTATGTTAGCTCATTTGACTGACTTACATCATTTATTCAACACAGTCATCATCATGATCACTTACATTGATAGAGCATGTATGGCATTGAGTGGTTGTATTCATTCTCCAATCAATTTACTTGAAAATCCAGTATGAGCTCATTTATAATCTGTTGCAATGTGAAACACCCAAGTGGGGAAAATGTTTACTCAGTACAAATTGCATTCTCTAATTTCAACCTCGCTTCCCTGCGGACTCTAGCATGTTCTCAAATACACATGTCAGGTCTTATTGAGTACACTGCGCATAAGCTTATCATGCTTTAATAAAAAAAACTTGGGGAGTGTCTCGGTTTGAGAGCTAGTAGGATATGGGGCTTCAAAGGTACGTACCACTTCAAGTAGAGAGAATATATATGCTCAAGTGAGTAGAAGGAGCCAACCGTTTTCCTTTTTTCTTTTCCACGCGTGCATTGTACCAAAGCAGACCTCCATCAGTGAATCTCCCAACAAGTTGACGCAGTCCGTGTCGGAGAGATCGCACACGTCCCCCCTGCCAGCCACTGCAGGATGAGGAGAAGGGTGTGCCCGGTAAGAGCTCTTCCATCTTCCTTTTAATTGCTAAATTATTTATTTACTTTTATTACTGATTCTCTCAGCTCACCCATGGGTCATAACAGAAGTGGGGTCAGCATTGTGAAATATAAAGGAAGGTGTCATAATTTTTTTATCCTATGTCGAAATAAAAGTAGTACAAGTGGTATATGAGAAATAACACAAAGTATTGTTTTCGAAATATGAGGAACATTTGCTGGGTGAGCATCAACTTGTGTCCGCATTGCCAACAAACACACATGTGCTAAACAGATAGAAGTGTCAGTGTAACCAATGCAGATACGTACTGTTAATTTTTACTTGGAGATCGTCTGTAGATCCAACTTTGGCTACTGTCTAGCTCATTCCATTCATTGGTAGCTCTATGGAAAAAAACTAAATTTTAAGTATTTGGTAAAGACAAAAGAAAGAGCATTATGTGAGGGGGGAACGAGAAACTTGCAGACTGCTATTTTACGCATTCCTAAGATAGTGTGGCCCGCGAACTTTTGACCACCCCTGTACATCTACTGTGTGTGACTGCGCATGATGTACATGCATTCATTATTTCAAAAGAAGGACATCCATTTGTTTCATGCATACTTGAATCTCTTGCATGCTCTCTCTAATGCACCTTTAAAACTAAAAAAAAAACTATTTAATTCTCAAAAGGTGAAAAAAAAAAACACACAAAAAGTTAAGGCTATGACACAGTTGCTTAGTCACCTACATTTCTTTCCACTTTTGCACTTTAATAAGGTTTTCCTTGTCTTAAAGACGTCCTTTAGGTTCCCTTTAAGTCGAACCTGGTGGAACCAAAACCACACGTTTAAGAGGAGTTCTGTGAACTGGGAAAGGTATATAAAGGTGCAGCTCCAAATCCTCCCAATTAGCGCTTGCTGCTGTCTTACTTCATCACTCATCTTGTACAGCCAGTAGTTTGTTGTGTCCCGTGACTGTGGGTGTTCAAGACTAACGATACATTTGCCTGGTTGCTACCGCATGCTGACTCAGATGTGAGACAGAGACTTGACTTGGTAGAGACATGATGCGAGACCGAGGAAGCCTCTCTCAGCCAAATGTACAGTCAGAAAAGAGACGGTAGACCTAACTTTCAGCGGGAACCAGCCTGCCTTTTATCTTTACTGTACTTGTGTTCTTTTTCATTTAAGATCTTTGCTTTCCCTTTGTAGTGAAGCTCTTGGAGTGTCAGTTCTGGCAGCACTAGACCGCGAGACAAGAGTATAGAACATACACGTGTCTATGCACTGTATGATCTTGTCAGGTTGTCTGGTTTTCTCGCAGCTAGCAGCGAAATGTACAAACAGGCGCAGTTGTGAGTGCCTCTGAAAGGAAGCCTTTCACGTTACTGAACTTGGCACGTTACAGGCATGAGCTTTGGGGCGTACGACATGCTGGCGTTGACCGACTCATACGGCCAGCTGTCGCTTCAAGTGCCAGACACGGGCGGCGAGCCTGTCGAGAAATTCTCTCCCACACCGAGCAGCCGCGACAGCCGGCGGCCGCGCAAGTTTGGGTTGGAGGACTTCATCTTCATCAAGGTGCTCGGAAAGGGCAGCTTCGGAAAGGTGCGCTCCCCGAGCCGTGGCTCTCACTTGCCGTACTGTCGCGTTTCAGTGGTGGTCCAAGTGAGCCATTTTTCTGCTGTGTTACTTCTCTGTGCCTTGCTGCTCCCTTTCAAGTAGGGTGTGCACCAAGTAAACAGGTCTAATTACATTGTCACACGGCAGTGTAATGTCCCTGGCCCAAAATATTCGTGGCACTCGTAGTACGTGTTTAATCATATTATTTGTTTCTTTTTGGGTTCACCATTTATTATGTCGCAGGCACAAGGCCAAGCTTGCTTCGTGGCTAAGGTTTCACAGCAATACATTTAAACCTGCTTATAATAAGCCTCCATATAACTAATTCCTAGATATAACGAAGTTTTTCTATTCTCCGCTGTTACTCAGAGAAGCACATGCATTTACTACTTCTGCATAACAAAGTAACAGCAAGGGAGATATCCTTGATATAACGAATTTTTTCCGTGGACAATTCAGGAATTCCACCTCGCACTTTGTCATTTTGGCACAAGCATGCATTTTCTGCGGTTTCCCCGCCGTCGAAGCACAGAGCGGTGGAGGCACTGTGCTCGTGGCACCGGTGGCGCATTTACAAAGTCTATCCGCTCGCCTTTGCGAATGTGCACCCTGGCAACTCCCAGGCGAGAGGGTGTGCTCGTTATTTGCACGGGTGCGCGTGAGGTGTGCAGGCGGGCCTACGCCTCACAAGCTGGCATTGCAGCCGTGGGCGCATGCGTGGATGTGCCCTTCCTCTTCCTTCAAACCAAAAAGTTTGCAGTGCCACGCTTTTAGTTAGCGTCACAATTGTAGGGTAGCGCCTGAGAGTACCATACTAATATGTTATTTTATGGTGGCACTGCATACGGAGGTGCTTTACCGAATAATTTTCCGCGGTAGCAGTGTCGTTCGCTCTTCGTTTTCGACGTCGCACGTGTATGCATGCAGTGGCCCCCGACGACGTTCAGCTTTGATTTATTTCTTCCTTTTCTTTAATTCAAACAACTGTGTCATGACTACCGAGGGGATGTCAGATTAGGCTCAGTTGAAAACTCTCCAAGACCACGGTGACAATGACGGATCTTCGGAGGGCTACTCGTAATGCGCTTTGCCAATTTGTGCCACGCCACAAGTTTGCGGGACCATAGCCTTCACGATTAGCCCATTAGGTCTGGTTAGAACACGGCAGTGCGTTGAATGTAATGCAATGATTGTGCTAGCAACAAATTGTGATGTTATACAAAGCAAGCCGACTCATTTGGATCCGATATTCGGAACTCCTCCAAAACGCTGGTTTAAGCAAATACGGCCGCTTCATGTAGAAGTGCCATATTGCACACAGTGTTTTTGCGTTAAAGGTGGACTGATACTTGCCTAGATAGCGTGTGCGCCAGCAATCGCGACTGCTGCTACTCGAGCAACACCCGCCCTGTGTTTTTTATCGTTATTCAAGGCAGGTGCTTTCATTTGTGTTCGAGCATTTGATGGCAGTTCTAAAACGTGGAAAGATGTGTATTCGTATGTGTTCACGAGGCGATAGAGATGGGCTGGCGCATTTGATCTCTGCTGCAGCAGCGCTCGCGCGCTTTTACTAGCGTGTTATAGCTATGAAGGGCAGGGCTTGTTCTCAATTTGGATTTGTTCAGAACATGGCGGAGACGGCAAAAACTCTGCCATGAGTGTACACATAATTGCTATCATAATAATAACGCAGGCTTTTATCTCTAAATAAGTGTTTTGGTTTAGCTCTGCCTTCAGTTCCTTACTTGTTTAATTTTTGCATTTATTTTTCTAATTTTCGTACCGAACCTTCATACTACAAAACCCTCTCTATAACAAATATTTCCGGAAATTTGTCAATTTAGTTATATCCAGGTTAAATTGTACTCATTTTGTATATTGTGGTGAAGCCAGCACATGATGATTTGCGTGGAGTGCCTCATTAATGGTGACTCGCTGACTGTTAGTTTGTCTCCACACTCTCATTACAGCAGCACGTGCAGTTTGCCCACTAACAAGAATATTCACAAATAAGTTTGATTCTACTACGGCAACGTGATCGCAAATTCCATTTTGAGTGCATTGGACCTGCTCCAAATCTGCTCCAAAACAGCATTTTTCGTGCTCTAGATCCTAGACTGGCTGGAATGCCTAACCACCTGAGGCATTAAAGGGCCCCTCACCAGGTCTGATCTTTTTGAACTCTGCTCTATGCGCCTCGAAAATAGGTCGAATTTCAAGCTGAACATTGATTTTCTCTTCTTGCGAGCCCAGAGAATGAGGGGATGATGTACAAGAAGGAACAACCCTACGTAGCCGGTAGTGCTTTGACGTTACTCCTCTATGTAGAAATCTGTGCTCTGACAACGCCCACAGCAGCATGTGACAGTCCAATAATTATTTGACGCGACATGTGTTGTTTGGGTATAGTATAGTAGACTCCCTTTAATATGAATTCCAAAGAACCACGATCATTTGTGTTTGTCTCACCAGGAGTTCGTCTGAACAAAAGTGCCCCCAAAAAACAAGTGCTAACATGCCAAGTACGCCCAAATATGTTGCTTGAAAACACTGAATGAAGTATACTTATTATGGGGAGGAAAGGAACAAGATGAAGCAAGTTTGATGAGAAGATGAAGAAACTTGATTAAAACTATGCTTTCAAGTAGAGTAGACTAATCTAACAAGCACCCCATTTCGCAAGTTCATGATAAATATGTTCGGGCATAAATTGCTACCACATTTTAACAATAAAACTGTAGCATGACCCTATTTTGATGATTGCAAAAAGAAAAAGAGAAAGAGCCAAGCACAATTTTTTTTCAAGGAATGGAGAATTTTTTCTTCTGGCTGCTCACCTTCTGAGAGGCCCATTTACTGGCTTTGCTTCTGGATGCACCTCCATTGCACATCGCTACCCTGAAAAAGCCAATATACGCGAAGTTGCTTATGAAAGTCTGCAAGCTTTTCTTTGAGGTTCGGATATTTTCTTATTTTTAGCCAGCATTAACTTTTCCTGAACGACATGCAGCTGAAGATCTCCATTTACGCTACTCACGATCACACGCCTCAGACACACAAAAAAGACAACGTAGCTATACTTAGTGTGCAAAATGACCTTCCTTTGTATCACAATTTACTGCATTTCAATGGGAACAGATAAAGTGTGCACAGGCCCCATGCAAACCAGCGCAATATGACCACACCATGCGCTCAGGTGCCCTTGTGTGACAGAGATGACAATGCATCCGACTCCTCTGTTGGGAAGCTAGTGCCGCATATGTGGTTTCCTTTTGTTGTGATTATAATGTGCAGGGAATCTTTGTTTCCATTTTCACTTTCATGTGGCTTTTTTTTTACCCCCTTCTCTTGCATTTTCTCCTCTAGCCAAGCTCTTGTAATCTTCTGTTCTCTACTGTACTCCTGTTGGGGAACTGAAGAAAGTGAGGAAAAATACCTAAGGACACAGTTTTTTTCTTGATTTTTTTGCTGATGAAGTCGGCTTTTTCTCTACCTACAGGCTAGGGTGAGGGAGATACCAGATTCATGCACTGACCTTTCTTTTCCACTTATCTTGCTTCCTCCCTCCAGGTCTCAATTTGCTTTCAATGGGCTTTGAGTCTTTGCACCAGGAAGTTTTTTTTTTTTTTTTCATTTTGCTTTCTCTTGTTTGCCTTAATGCCCTCATCAAGACTACAATGTTCGTTGGGCAGAATTCTTAAGCAAAAATTTGTTTTAACAGAGTTCACCTTAATGGGAGTCTACTGTAATATGTTGATTGAATAGATTAGTAAAACTTAACTAAGAGCAATAATAGAATACACAAACAGAATGTGTGCATGTTTTCTTTAATTTTTACTGCCAATCACAGCAAGATGCAAAGCTAATATGCCTCTGTTTTGCATGTGTTTGCATTCTTGTGCTTTGCGCATTATGCAGACACCACTCCTTACAATGAAACTAATTTTCTACTTTGTTCAACCGTTCATTAGGCTCATTGATCTTCCTGGTCTTGACTATTTGTTCATGCGCCACTGGCTGGTGAAACTGCGAGTCTTGCGTCCATACGAATGTGTCAGCTTTCATGCTCTGTTAAGGTTGAAAGCCAAGGGGTCGGCGAGAGTGGTCTAGAAAGAGCTATGTTGCGATAGCTCTGCAAAAAGGACACATATTCCCGTGAACTTGTGTATTCTCGTGCGAAAGCCCAGCATCGAGAGGCGTCTGAACAGGAGTGACAGGCTGGCTGAGGTTTCCACAACCCGCTGTTGTGGTCTAGTGGTTATGGGGCTTGGCTGCCGACGCGAAAATCTCGGGATGGAATCCCGGCCACGGCAGCCACATTTTGAATGGAGGTGAAAATGCCTGAGGCTCGTGTGCTTAGATTTAGGTGCAGGCTAAAAAAAAACATCAGGTGGTTGAAATTTCCCGAGCCCTTCACTGTGGCATCTCTCATCATTATACCGTGGTTTGGGGATCCTCAAACAGGACTGATAGTTGGGCTAGCTGGTGATACATTATGGGCAGTACCGGCGCACAAACTCACGGGACGAAGAGAAGAGACACAAGCAAGCGCTGGCTCTCAACTGAAGAATTTATGGAAATAGACAACTTATCTGAACACATAAGATAAAAAAGCACAGAACATGTGCAGAGGGCCGGCGAAGGATCGAAGGATTTCAATGAAAAGACAGTGCTCTTCAAACACAGCGATCAGATCACAAGAGAACAAGTGGAAGCATTTTATATCAAAAAAGAAGGGGAGTCTTGCGTCAGTCAGACATCAATATCTTTACATGAAAAAGAAGAAATCTTAATCGTTAGCATGTTTGTTTGAGTAGAATATGCCGCGCCTGCGCAGTTACCCGTAGCGAAAAATTGTTAATGACGCCTACACGATCCTTCGCTGGCCCTCTGCGCATGTTCTGTGCTTTTTTATCTTATGTGTTCAGATAACTTGTGTATTTCAATAAATTCTTCAGTTGAAAGTCAGTGCTTGTTTTTGTCTCTTCTCTTCGTCCCGTGAGTTTGTGCGCTGGTACTGGCCATAATGGATCCTAAAACCCAACAGTTACTGCAAAGAGGCTTCGATAAAATGTGCCTATCTTTGTCAAAGGTGCCTCACCATTCTTGGCATGTTGGCTTTCAAAGGGTTAGACAGTGGCGTTGTGGCGTCACACCGTGTCACGCTCATTATGTGACGTTGCTGACCGATGGCACGTGTCATTGCTGGAAAGATGTGCCCCAGGCTGTGTGCGAAAGGGTAGTGTCTTTGTGGGCGCTTGAGACAGCCGTGTGTTCATCTCACCCAGGTCATGCTAGCCGAACGCAAAGGCACAGAGGAAGTATACGCTGTGAAAGTGCTCAAGAAAGATGTCATCCTGCAAGACGACGACGTTGACTGCACCATGACGGAGAAGCGCATTCTGACGCTGTCCGCCAAGCACCCGTTCCTCACAGCCCTCCACTGCTGCTTTCAGACCGAGGTGGGTGTTCTGCATTCCCTGCGCTCCTTGAGAGGCGCATTTCACGTTTCTTAATGCATGACTGCCAGCCTTGAAAGAAATAAGAGAGAGAGAGAGAGAAAGAAAGCCTTACAACCAGTAATTTTAAACTAATATCATATGTCACTTGTGCAGTGGGGACTGTGCTTCAAGCATTCAGGGATTGTTCAGCATGAAAATAGAAAAAATACTAGTGAAGCTTCTTCCTTCACAGCCTTCATTTGTCTAATAAAACATGTCTAAAAATGAGCTAATTAAACATACAATCCTAGGACTCGATGTTTTTATGATGGGCTTGTCTCATTAAAAGACAGCATCAATGAAGTACGAGAAAGTCTGTTTTCCACTGCATTGCAGAATAGTTACACTTAGTGCAAATAAAAAAAGACGCTAGCACTTCGAAATGTCGCAGATGTGTTTGTTGAGTTCTTGACGTTATTTCAACGATGGGAGCCACTCCTCCATATATTGTATGAAGAAATGGTGAAGCTTGTGAAAAGAATTCTGGGACGTTTCCTACTGATCGGTGCATACAGGGACTTCACAGGAGTGGAACTTCAATCCCTTAATGTAGAGTGCTCTGCGAATTGGAAACAGGTAGTTGAAATTGGTGGAGACACTGAAAATTCTATTAATTCTTTCACGCCTGAAGAGAAAAAGATGTTTAGAATAGGTGCACGTAGCTTTTACATTCACGTTGCGAAGTATCTGCTTTCAAGGCTGCCCTTTGGCAATCAAGTGCTTAACGTTGAAAGCCAAGGGGTCGGCGAGAGTGGTCTAGAAAGAGCTATGTTGCGATAGTTCTGCAAAAAGGACACATATTCCCATGAACTTGTGTATTCTCAAGGGAAAGCCCAGCATCGAGAGGCGTCTGAACAGGAGTGACAGGCTGGCTGAGGTTTCCACGACCCGCTGTTGTGGTCTAGTGGTTATGGGGCTTGGCTGCCGACGCGAAAATCTCGGGATTGAATCCCGGCCACGGCGGCCACATTTTGAATGAAGGTGAAAATGCCTGAGGCCCGTGTGCTTAGATTTAGGTGCACGCTAAAAAAAACATTAGGTGGTTGAAATTTCCGGAGCCCTTCACTATGGCATCTCTCATCATTATACCGTGGTTTGGGGATCCTAAAACAGGACTGATAGTTGGGCTAGTTGGTGATACATTATGGGCAGTACCGGCGCACAAATTCACGGGACGAAGAGAAGAGACACAAACAAGCGCTGACTCTTAACTGAAGAATTTATTGAAATATACATCTTATCTGAACACATGAGATAAAAAAGCACCGAACATGCGCAGAGGGCCAGCGAAGGATCGAAGGATTTCAATGAAACAACAGTGCTCTTCATACATAGCGATCAGATCACAAGAGAACAAGTGGAAGCATTCTATATAAAAAAAGAAGGGGAGTCTTGCGTAAGTCAGACATGAATATCTTTACATGAAAAAGAAGAATTCTTAATCGGTAGCATTTTTGTTTGAATAGAATATGCCACGCCTGCGCAGTTACCCGTAGCGCTAAATTCTTAATGACATCGACACGATTTTTCGCTGGCCCTCTGCGCATGTTCTGTGCTTTTTTATCTTATGTGTTCAGATAACTTGTGTATTTCAATAAATTCTTCAGTTGAAAGTCAGTGCTTGTTTTTGTCTCTTCTCTTCGTCCTGTGAGTTTGTGCGCTGGTACTGGCCATAATGGATCCTAAAACCCAACAGTTACTGCAAAGAGGCTTCGATAAAATGTGCCTATCTTTGTCAAAGGTGCCTCACCATTCTTGGCATGTTGGCTTTCAAAGGGTTAGACAGTGGCGTTGTGGCATCACACCGTGTCACGCTCATTATGGGACGTTGCTGACCGATGGCACGTGTCATTGCTGGAAAGATGTGCCCCAGGCTGTGTGCGAAAGGGTAGTGTCTTTGTGGGCGCTTGAGACAGCCGTGTGTTCATCTCACCCAGGTCATGCTAGCCGAACGCAAAGGCACAGAGGAAGTATACGCTGTGAAAGTGCTCAAGAAAGATGTCATCCTGCAAGACGACGACGTTGACTGCACCATGACGGAGAAGCGCATTCTGACGCTGTCCGCCAAGCACCCGTTCCTCACAGCCCTCCACTGCTGCTTTCAGACCGAGGTGGGTGTTCTGCATTCCCTGCGTTTCTTGAGAGGTGCATTTCACGTTTCTTAATGCATGACTGCCAGCCTTGAAAGAAATAAAAGAGAAAGAGAGAAAGCCTTACAACCAGTAATTTTTAAACTAATATCATATGTCACTTGTGCAGTGGGGACTGTGCTTCAAGCATTCAGGGACTGTTCAGCATGAAAATAGAAAAAATACTAGTGAAGCTTCTTCCTTCACAGCCTTTATTTGTCTAATAAAACACATCTAAAAATGAGCTAATTAAACATACAATCCTGGGACTCGATGTTTTTATGATGGGCTTGTCTCATTAAAAGACAGCATTAATGAAGTACGAGAAAGTCTGTTTTCCACAGCATTACGGAATAGTTACACTTAGTGCAAATAAGAAAGGACGCTAGCACTTTGAAAGACATTATGTTGTAAAGTGTAAGAGTTGGGGATGCAAAGTTTTGATGCTACCAAGCACCTTTCCTCCTCCTTCAGTGTTGTGGTAAGATGGTATTGAAGATCCAGAAAGGATAGTGTGGGTTAATGCAGTCACTGAGAAAAACACTGAAGTGATGATGTTTCTAGAATACTTTTTCTTGATTACCAGCTTTGAACTATGACTGAGGGCTCCTGAATTCTTTGTGTTGTCATGACATCCATCAGTAGTGATAGCGGTATGTGGCGCCCCCTGGGTGTTTTGGCAACTGCTTACGTCTGACCTGTCTGAAGTGTGTGTGCGGGACGTTGTTGGACTGGGAAAGTCACGGGAACAGGGAGTGAGGCCTAACAAACGTGACAGTGTTTATCCTACATTACTTTGCTGCTTGATGAATCTGTATTGCATTGTCTGGACACAAAGCTTCTCGTTTCATTCACCTTTCTTATCCACCAGGACCGGTTGTTCTTCGTCATGGAGTATGTCAACGGTGGAGACCTGATGTTCCAGATTCAAAAGGCGAGGAAGTTTGACGAGCCGCGAGCACGATTCTATGCAGCCGAGGTGACGTTAGCCCTCATGTTTCTACATCAGTACGGAGTCATTTATAGGTGAGGTACCACATTTTCTTTACTTGGCATGGCGTTTCTATGACTGGGGATGTGCCCCAATTCTGGCCAGCAGCGTAGACTGTCTGTACTGACAGCTTAGAAGACAGCATCGAGCTCCAGTTTGAAATTGAACGCAACTGCATGGTGTCTGGGCCAGGTGGTGCCAACTGAAGTTGATAAGAGAAAGTTGAGGAAAACAAACCTAATTGTTGTTTCTTCAACTTAAATAATGTTCGAATCTCTGAGAAGTTGGACACAGCCTGCATTAAGCACATAAGAAAGCATTTACATTTAGGTAGATGACTCTGCCAGTGAGATCCCAGCATTCCACTTAGCAGCTATCTCGTTTGGACAGCAAAGTACCCGCCATTTTTACCTGTCTCCAATACTGTCTTCCTGAATCTATTTTGCTGACCACATAAGAATCGGATTGAGAAAAAGCACTGACACTAGAATCTTTAGTTTTGATTTTTTTTTCGCGTAAATAAAAGGCTGAGCACTCCCGAGCCTACAAGATGTACTAGAAAGCATGAGTGCACCGTAAAAAAATTGTTTGACGTGTTTTTAGAAGCAAGTTTCGGTTCTCAGTGTACCTTGACGTCACGACACATGCTCACGCAAGACATTGTGATTAGGCTTGTGCAAGTATTCAAATGCTCTGAATATTTAAAAAAAATATTGTGGTATTCAAGCTTGCTTCTACTCGAACTAAAGTATTGAAAATTTCAAAGTATTCGAGATAAACGAATAATTGTTAGCCTGCATATAATTTCTGTAAAGGTGGTTTTATTGCAGTGGAGGGATGCTTAGCCGTGAAAGCACCTAAGTGTACTACAGTAAAAGCTTGTTAATTCGGATTTCACGGGACCGGAAAAACTGTCCGAATTAACTGAATGCCGAATTAACGAATGAAAAGGAAAAACAACATTTAAAATCAAGCTGCAGAAGCATACCTTTATTTGTTGAAGTATTTTGTAATTGCCGTCTGCGTTTTCGCGCAGATTCCGGCTGACATCACAATTTTTCTTAACTGTTCCAAATGGCCAACAGCACGCAAGCTGTCGGAAGTGTTCAGGCAAGCGTCCTCTAATATTAACAGCGCATCCGAGACTTCCCATGAGGTGCGATGAGGTCGCGGCTGTATCTCGTCGCATGATTCTTCGTCGGAATCGTGGTCTTCATGGGCGCCCGTGACATCATTAATAATCTCTTGGTCGGTCAGGAGACCACTCGTGGCGACACCATGGTTAATCGCGATGTAGTCCTGAAAGGTCACATCTGTGGACAGCATCGAAAGTCGGGCAGTCATCGTCGGTGGACTCGGCTGACACCTCCTCGATGCCATCGTCAGCTACTGCTGCATGCTCGGGCCTCACAAAACCGCTGTGCCGAAAACAGTTGGCGATGACTTGCGGCGGAGTGTTTTTCCACACGTGGGCGATGATGTGCACTGTGCCGAGTAAGTCCACTTGATACAACTTTCCAGCTTCTGAGCATAGCATCATTCGCTCTAGCAGGTGCTTGCGGTACTTCGACTTCACGTAGTGAATGATACCCTGGTCCATCGGCTGAAGAGCAGACGTAGTGTTGGGGGACAAAAAAACTACTTTGATGCTCTTCAGTTCGACTGTACAGTTATGGGCACTGCAGTTGTCAACAATCATAATTATCTTGCGGTCCTTCTAGGTGAAGTGCCGGTCCAACTGCTGCAGCCAGCCGCGAAAAATGTCCGATGTCATCCATGCCTTCCTGTTCGCTGTGTACTCGACAGGAAGGCTTTTGACGTTCTTAAAACAACGTGGCTTAGGCGCCTTCCCAACGACAAGTAGTGGCAAGCGCTTCGTGCCAGTCATATTTGCGGCAAAAGCACAGTTATCCTTTCCTTGCACTTCTTGCCACCTATGCACGCGTCCCCTTTGAAAGTCACCGTCTTCTCGGGCAGAGCTCTGAAAAATAGAGCAGTTTCACCTGCATTGAACACTTCACGTGGTTCATATGCGGCGATGTGCTCCAGCAGCTTCACATTTCTCCACTCGGTGGTCACGCTTTCGTCAACACTGGCCTTTTCGCCGCACACACTCCTGAAGACAAGTTCGTGTCTCTCTCGAAACCTCGCAAACCACCCTTCTGACGCTTTGAACAATTCAATGTTCATCATTGCAGCGTACTTCTCACCTTGCGCCATGATGAGAGGTCCGCTCAAAGGCAGATGCGCGTTGCGACAGTCAGTAATCCACCGGAGCAAAGCTTCTTCGAGCTGGGGATGAGCTGTGGTTCGCAACCGCTTTCTAGAGGCATGAAACTTCTCGCTTTCGAAGGCTTGTCGAATCTGTTGTTCATTTTCACGTACGTTCCCAACGTTCTCCGCTTCACGTTGTACTTGGTCATAACCTGCTGTCGCAATTCGCCATTCTTCAGTGCTTCCAAAATTTCCACTTTAGTCGCCAAGTTCTTCGCGTCGTAGTTCTGCCGCTTTTTCCGGCGTTGCCATCACTGTAGCGCACGATGGTGGTGGCACGCAAATACAGTCACAAAGGAAAAAAAAGAGAACTCCGCAAGAAGAGATGGTTCCGACACGACAACACAAGGGAAAATGGCGTTGGAGGCGCTGAGTGGAGAAGAAAGAAGACGCCAACGTTCGGTGACGCTGCGATCTCCCCCACAGCCCCACTAGTTGATGATGATGGGGATGCCACTCAGGTTTCGGTTTCACTCCAGTGGTGCCAGCGCTGCTTTATCACACTTTTGTGTAGCAGCAGCCGTCAGCAATTTGTCCGAATTAAGCGGTGCGGAGCCGAATTCCGGCAAAATAACGAGGGTTTGGTCCCATAGATTAACATGCACTTTGGTCGGGACCAATAGAGCCGTCCGAATTTCCGAATTAACAGGTGTCGAATTAACGAGCTTTTACTATAGTTTGCATGTAACTCCTTGTAAAGATTGTTTCACAGCAGTAAGGGAATGTTAAGCCGTGAAAACACCTTCCCAAAAGAAATTCGACTGTCGTGCAGCCCCACTTCAAGGTTACATGAACTTATCACCCTCACGTCAATTCATCATTTTTTAAGTGTAAAAGGTTGGTATACAGGCTTGTCTGCTCGAAGTATCGTAAATTTTAAATGTAACATACTGTACAATTGTTAAAAAATATTATGCTCATTATAGTTAGGTCATGACAAATATGCCAATTTTTTTTTTTTTTCAATGATCTGTGATTTGAACTTGAAATTGCAATTATTCGACTAAAATCGCTATTAGCTGTGAGTTTGCTTCAAACCTGAAATTCACTATACGCACAAGCCTAATTGTGATGCTTCCATGGCTGTTCTGTTCCTAGCTTTGTTTTTGACACACATGCCGCCGTTTCGATTGTTCTTGGTGGTGCACAAGTGCCCATTTTTATTGCTTTCATTCCTGACATCACAACTGGCCACTCGTGTACTATGAAGTCTCCAGAATGTCGTAAATCAAAATAGAACATCGGCATTGCTGGGCTTCACTTTCTCTGTATACACTCAAGCCTCATTATAAACCAACTCACGTCCGCCGTGAAAATACTGCGTTATATTTGAAAATTTGTTATAAACGACTATTTGTAACATTATCTGAGGCAAAGCTACCAGGTCACTTACTTCACTATAACCAATAATTTATTATGTTCGAATTCTTTATACCAAGGTTTGAGTGTAGATGAGATTTGTAGGGCAGAGTAACCTTGCCTGCGAAAATTCGTGTCAGTGCCCCTTCAAGATAGTCACCGTCCGATTAGCTATTTATTTTATATCTTTGGCTAGTATTGGGGCAAAGCCTGAGGTGCGTGTCTAAGCTCGTGTGGACTATTTTGCCTTTTCACACTGTGATGCTTTGTTCTTTGTGCAGGGATTTGAAACTAGACAACATTCTCTTAGACACGGACGGTCACTGCAAGATAGCAGACTTTGGCATGTGCAAGGAAGGCATCAAGGATGGCGTCACGACGACCACCTTTTGTGGTACACCGGACTACATCGCTCCCGAGGTACGTGTGGCATCCTGCAGGCCGGCATAGCGAAAAGTCGCTAGCGCCTGCAAATTTTTTGTTAGATGCGGCTGAAAAACATTACGGTTCAGGAATGTTCATGCCGATTTAGGCGATGCCAATGCGCTTGTGAAACAGAACTTGTGATTAGGCGAGGTGGTGATTACCGAAAAAAACGGAATGTAGGTCGACCTCCTAAAGCCTGAAAAATAAATTTTTAAAAATCACAAAGTATTGCTGCGCACTCTTGGTAAATAAGCGACACAGCCAGCTGTACTGTGGTGACATTTTTTTTGTTTCGACACTTATGTAGTTAAAAGTCAAAAGGCCACCAAGTTCTGTCACTCAGACTTGTCCGAACTTGAGTCCGACAACGTCTGTTTTAAAGACTGATAGTCTTTCTTGGGGACTTCAGCGCAAAAATTTTGGTCTGTCTGTCTGTTTGTCTGTACATTTGTCTGTCCGCCCTTCACGGTACTCTAAACGGCACCAAAGTGGCCAAACGATACTCCCAACAGCCGACCCCATCCGCAGCGCCCAGCAATATTGCTCAAGATTCAGCGTTCATACTTGTGCGATTGTCAATTAAAAAGCGAACATTGCGCATATCTGAGGCACCATAACAACACGTCAATATTCTGTATGTGTGTCTCTTACTAGAAAAGGAGCACATCAGTAATTCTAAGAACCGTAGCATTTATCACGTTGCGCTGACCATGCAACGCTTGCACAAAAAGGCAAGTGTTTGCAACGCTTTGCTAAGACAACACAGTGGTGGCACCTACCCGTCGCCTTGCGTTCTACACCTTATCACCTCCGAGACAAGGGCGCAGGGCGCGCGCGCGCTTCGTTTTCCAAGATAACTGCGAGATAGCGCTCGTGTCTCGCGTGTGACGTGACTTGATGCGCTCGTTCGCCTTCGCTGCACGGATCGAGACTCTTTAACGCAGCACCTCCAGAATACCATTCACCGATTTTCTCGCGCAGAACATAAAATAAATGTTTTGTTCACTTTCTCCTCGTCTTTCGACGACATTTCCAGATTACATGCAGATACGGGGCCAATTTTTTCACTAGTAACGTCCCAGAGTGCGTTGTCCTTCGTTCCATTCAATGGGTTACTGATTCAGCATTTGTGGAAAGATGGAAGTACATCGCCTTAGCGTAAAGCCCTTCTGCTTGATAAATCGGTGCACCCACGATGGCGATCCCTTGAATTGCACCCTCGTGAGCCCAAAGCAGCGCGCTACCTCGAGAGCTTTCACGTGGATGCACTCCGCTGGTATGAGTGCATTACATCCACAAAATGATTTTTTGTTGTTGCTGCAGAATGTGATGCACTGCTTTTGGCTCCTTCAGTATCGGATACTTTTCTTCGATGTACCGAATTTTCGTTGTGCCGCCAGATTTTGTTGAGGTGAAATAGGCCTATTTCACCTCAAGAAATGGCTGGCATTTAATGCTGTTGTGTTCCCAGCTAGTCACAAACTTGCTCATGTCTGGAGGGCGCTGAGAGAACTGGGCTTGACCTATATTTCTCTTCTCTTCACGTTGTCGTGCTTCACTTCCAGATCCTGCAAGAGTTGGAGTACGGCCCATCGGTGGACTGGTGGGCACTAGGTGTGCTCATGTACGAAATGATGGCGGGCCAGCCGCCTTTTGAGGCGGACAACGAGGACGACCTCTTTGAGTCGATCCTGCACGACGACGTCCTCTACCCAGTCTGGCTAAGCAAGGAGGCCGTCTCTATACTCAAGGGGGTGCGTGCTTAAACTCTGTTTTTAAAATTTTTGAAGACGATAGTCTTTCTCGCGTTACTTCAACGCAGAAGTTTTGATCTGTCTGCCTGTCTCTATCTATTTGCCTTTCTGTCTATCAGTCTGTCATTTGATTCAGCCACCAGGGCGAAAGTTTGACCTCCTGCTGAACAACCACCCTTCTTGGTCTCCTGGCTGCGTTCATACTAGTGAACATTGTTAACCAAAAAACTAATATTACAGCAAACCTGGGTGCACATCAATATATGAGCATTAGGTAGTGTGTTACTTAATTGTGAAAATGCATAGATAGGGCAATTATAAAGACTGCAGTGCTTATTACCTGGTGCTGGAAATGCGACGCTACCAATTGAAAAAGCTGGTGAAAAAGCGGGTGTTTCCTAAGCTTCACTAAGACTGCACGAGGCTGCCACCTACAAGTGGCTTTGCATTCTAGAAAAACTTCTTCAATATACTGCTTGAGGGCGTCCGCGTCTCACGCAGGGCATACTCAACAAACTTTTTGCGCAGAACGTCAAATAGACGTCTCATTCTCTGCCTTGCCGTGGTGGTCTAATGGCTAAGGTACTCGGCTGCTGACCCGCAGGTTGCAAAATCAAATCCCGGATGCGGCGGCTGCATTTCCGATGGAGGCAGAAATGTTGTAGGCCCATGTGCTCAGATTTGGGTGCACGCACATTAAAGAACCCCAGGTGGACGAAATTTCGGAGCCCTCCATCGCGACGTCTCTCACAATCATATGGTGGTATTGGAACGTCAAACCCTACAAATCAACCAATCTTATTCTCTCCCTCTCTGAAAAGAAGACTATCGTCTTTTGACGACCTTTGCCAGCGAACCACGCAGATATGCTGCCAATTTTTTCCTACTCAAATGCAGGGCAGTACTGTCTGTTTAGTTTCAGGTTTCCTTCTATGAATGTCTTCCACAAGTGAAAATCGAGTCTTTTTAGTTGAAACTGCATAGCATTCGAAATTGGGCGAGTTGTTTTAAGTATTCTGATATGGCAGAGCTTTGAGCCAAACAGGTACAATGAAATTGTTAGAATTGTCAGAAGGGTGTGCGTACTTGTGTTTTCATCATCGTCATATTTCATTGGTGTGCCGATTAGAAGTTGCTCAAATCTGATACCACACTACTTTTAATTCAGGCATCAAGTGAAAAATGTTGTTATGCTAAGCTAAAAGTCTCGCCAGGGGATTTGTGAAGAAAACCATGTAAAATTAAGTAAATCCTGTGGGCCTCAGTGCAGTACTTCTACAGGAAAGATTTTATTTATTTTTATTTATTTATAAATACTGGAAATCTCAACGAGATCAAGGCAGAAAAGGAAGGTTACAACAGAATACATAAAAACAGTAAACAAATTATACTAAGCTGCACAACAATGCATAAAATACATAAATGCAACCACAAGTTAACTACTGGTTATACAATATAAACATAATTCCACTAGAAAGAAGAGTAACAGAAAAAAAAGACCTGATACACATTGATTGACAATGGGGCTTGCAGTTCATGACCAAAAATCCTGCCAAGCGGTTGGGCTGCGTGGAGTCGCAAGGTGGGGAGCAGGCCATTCTAAGCCATGCCTTCTTCAAGGACATTGACTGGGAAGCCTTGGAGGCCCGCAAGGTCAAGCCGCCCTTCAAGCCCAAGATTGTGAGTACAGTGACGCACGGGCAGGCATGCAGTGCCTTGTTGGGCGTTTGTGCAGTCTGGGTTTCAGTGATAGAATGGCCTGGTGCAACCTATTCATTCCCCAAGGCCTGGATCGGCGGCTGAGATGGCGGATGCTATTGGTGTAATCATTGACAGTGACCTGCAGCTCCAAAGATAAGAAGCTAAAAGAGCAGTAGATAGAAGGCAATGAAGTTGTAAAAAGGTGCGAAACTGTTTCGGCATTCCTGTTGTTCGCTTATGACTATAGTGTAGCAGACTTCAGCACTTTGTTTTCAATTGACCTGAAGAACGTTCAACGTGGGCCTTTGCAGCAGCATGTTTTGCTGTCCCTTATTGGTTCGCTCACGTGCATCCCAGAAAAACATGTGGGAATGCTTTTGGCGACAATAAATGTACTGCACATACATCGTGGTTTGACAACGCATTTTGCTAGTTTCTTTAATATAGCAAGCTTTGGGTTGTACCGAATATTTTTGCTCCCCCTTGAGATTCGTATCACTGAAATTCTACAGTCACCATATTGTTTACTATGATTCATAGTGAAAATTCCAGCCTTTGTGGTGTTTTTTAAAGATGTGGCACTCAGCTTCATTGTTGTAGCGCCGATGACCGATGTTGTGCTCTCAAAAAGACATGGATACAGCAGACGCGGTCAAGTAAACCAAAACGCTTGTACATTTATTCACTTCCTTTTACATTGCTGATATTCTCAGCTGAATCAAGTAATTCACTAGCGGATTGCTATACAACCTTATTTGCTATTCAAATACATTACTCAAGTAACATAACAAATAGTAGGCACCATGATTACATCGTCGCCGACGTTAGGCTCACCACGAGTGATCCACCCGAGACGACCCGCGGTGCAGTCTCCATAGACCCACCGCAGGAGGTCTATGAAGACTGCCAAACACCCAAAGAATTTCTCTCCTTTTTTCCGTGCTCCAGCCTAACCCTTGTGCCACAGCAGTGGGGGGGGGCGTCTCCGCTAACCCTAACACGCACGAAACACAGCGCCACCTTCCCGCTTTGCGGCTGTTAAACCGAAATGCGGCCTATCTGTGAAGCACTCGTGCAGTGATATGCAAATGATCTTACAGGGTGGTGATAGCACCCCCACACTGTACATACTGATTAGTCCCACATCATGCGGCACACAGAGATCATATCATAGAGCTAATTAGCACACTGTAGGTCTGTTTGTTCTTATGTCAAGGCAACACACCGATCGTATGTAAGTGTCACAAGAGTATAAAGTTGGGCATGTTGGTAAGACATACTTAATCGACGTAGCGCGTTTTGAAACATCCCTTCCCTTGTCCTATGTTTCAAAACGCGCTACGTCGATTAAGTAAGTGTCACACTTTATGGGCAGCAACATGCTACTGTAACACTTACTTGTTCATTAAGTTACTTGGTATTCTTCAACAGTAATGGTTTCTTATTATGGAATAAGTACCAGCACACAAAAGTGTATCAACCTGCATAGTGAGCCATTGTGAAAGATGCAGTACGTAACAGGCAATGGAGGAGAGGAGAACAATGCAGGCACACACTCGCAACTGAAAGTTATTGAAGAGACAACGCATATATAGCTTACAAGAATTGTCAGCATGGTACAAGTAGTGCGCACTACCTGTCTTTCAAAATGAACCACTACCAACTAGCCTAAATGGCTGTTTTGCTGCATAGTGAGCAATCATTGGCAGTGTTAAATTCAATTGAGTTCATTACGTTTTTTGAAAACAGAAAGGCTCCTCAAGGAATAAAAGATCTATAAAGCAGTCCCCAAGGCATGAGCTTTTGTCGGGACTTTTTGTCACCGACGTATAAGCACAAAGCACCGAGGCACAAAGGCCAGTCTCTACTGCTTCATCAGGTTATTTATTGCCTTGCTTTGCTTTAAAGTGTATGTTGTCAGCTAGGCAAATTAATGTATTAATTAAGTTGTGCCATACTATAGATTCTCAAGTACTTCAGTAAATAATGGTTGCAAGGAGGTCGCGAACCCTTTTATAGGAGATAAGCACTGGGGAGAAATTCGCGTCTTTTATATGGGGTGTCTCTTACAAGTAGGCTACCACTGTATGCGTTTTCTTAACAACAGATATTTCATTATAGGCACCTTGGTGCCTCATATCTATTTGTCTCTTACATCAGTGTCTCTTATTAACTGTATTAGAAAATTGGAGAGTCAACAAATACTAACTACATACATTGTGTTTTAGTTATTTTGCACTGCAGCTCAGGTTGTTGGGGACAATAAAGGAAAAAAAAAAGCTAAAGAAGTAATTAAGGGAATATTTGTTACGTTTTAGCAGTTGCTTTTGCAAGCTTGTACACTGTATGCAAGTTATTGTGCATGTCTTGACATGTGAAAGTGTTCATGCCTTCATGCATGTACACTGATGGATTGAAATATGACATCAAAGCTTTTAGTATGATGACTGGTACGTGCAATAGCTCAGGGCAACCACATAATGTTGCTATGAATATGACTGCTAAAGATAAATCATAAGTGAAGAAGGTAAGGCGTGCTAACACGGATAGTACAACCACGGACAGCTCATAGTACAAACATGGAGAGTGCCACACAGGTGGTGTCCTTTCAGTTGATATAGTCGACAGTTGTGTTGTCTTGGTCTCCTTGTGTCTGTGTTTGCATGCCTTACCTTCTTGTATGACGAGCACTTACCAACTAGTAGTGGGGCTTTCTGTAATTCTTAGGTAAAGGTAATGTCGACTCTGACATCAGTGGTCAAGTTGAATTTACGTTGGGGACATTAACTGAAGACAGTAGAAACAAAAGTATGTGCATTACTCAGCGCTAAATAATTACATTTCTGTGAGCATATGCCGTACCAGACAATACTGGAACACTATCCCGTATCTGTATGTTTGTAACGGTTGGTTATTTTAAAATGTGTCGCAAGGAACGACGACTTGGAAGAAAATGAAGATGTTCCGCATTTCGTGGTATGGTGTAGGTTCTCTGTTTTTGGCATTGAATATCTTCGCTATACTCAGTGACTAAGTTTCCTAACCTGCCTTTGCACTCGCTTCTCTATCTGCGCAGAAAACCAAGCGTGACGTGAACAACTTCGACCAAGACTTCACCAAGGAAGAGCCGGTGCTGACACCGGTCAACCCCGAAGTGTTGCGCAACATCAACCAAGAGGAGTTCAAGGGCTTCTCCTTCGTCAATGAGGACTTCAATCCGGCCAGGTTTGCGGGCGAGGGCGGGCCCGCGACATAGTGCCTCCTCTGCATACGATGGGCCGCCCCTTCTAGTCATGCTCCACGCGCACACACCATCACTCCGTTCCTTTTCCCGCCTTCCCTCTGGCGGCTGCAGTGCCTGGCTGGCCCATTCGACCTTTTTCTCAACACTTCTTTTTCTCGTTTCGATACCCCCATTACTTTATAATTTTCAGCGGGATGGTTCCCCATATGCCACGCTCAGGGCTGTGCCCTCTGAAAGTGCAACAACGTAAAGGCACTGTCGCTGCCGTCGCGCGTGGACTCCAGCTTCGAGCAGTGTTCTTTATCCTCACAGTGACGGTGACGTCTTAACGGGCCTTGTTTCGATGGTAGTGGCCTCCAGGTAGGGTTGTGACAGGCAATTCGCAGACCCCACCCCCATTGGCATTTCCACGAATACGGGTTGGTAGTCGAGAGACCCATCGACACACTGCCAAAATTTTGCTGCATCTCGCTGGCAGTTTTTTGTCGCTCTTTCGTTTGAAGCCATGGCGGGGCTTTTCCGAATTTCTCTCCTCACCACCCTTTAAAGCTCAGAATGTTGTGTGAGTGAAAGGATCGCTGGGCAAAATGTCTGCGCTATAGTCAGAAGCAAGCGACAGGCACAAAAGCAGGTGCCCGGGCACTCGTTTCTAGTCTAGTACAGAGCTAATTTTGTTTAGTGCCATGTGCCCTGGGCTGCTACCACTTGTAAGTGCCCAGCCCCTAGGGCTGTCCTCTTAATAATTTTTTTTTGTCTCTTCAGTTTTGTCGCCAAGGGTTCTTCATTTGCTTTGCTTCTCATCTGGAAGTTCATCCTTTATTCTCCACAACATCGTTTTCTATATTGAGTGAATAGTTTGTCATCGACTCAGCGTCACCTGCAGCAAGTGCATTTCAGGCAAAAGCATTTCTTGTAGGCGGCCATGTTCCTGAAAGAGACTGTCGTATTTACTTTTCGTTAATTGGGCATCTTGCTGAGCATATTTTTAGGTTTTTATTCTCGCAGTCTTTCTTGACACTGCAGTGTTAATGTTCTTTTCCCACTGTTCTACTTCCAGGTAACATCCATCGAACTTTTTATTACTTGTTTTCTTCGCTGTGTTCACAATTTGTAGCTATTTATTTATTTATTCTCCACAACTTTCATGGACCTTAGAAAGGAGGGGCAATCTCGCTAGCTGTGCACGTCTTTTGTCAGTAAGCGAAGGTCAGAAGTTCTCGTTTGTTTTGTCCACTTGTTTGTTTTGTTTCATTATTCATCACATTCTGGGCACAGGCCGATATTGTTGTCAGGCTAATCTTGCAAGTCAGTCAAGGCCAACATCTGCTCCTTTATGGAGCCTATAAATTCGCAGTCACCTTGTGGTCAACATCATCTATGTTCACTCTACAAGAACTGGTGTCAGTCAACGCCCAAATTGGCTGTGAGGGGACATGGACAAGTGGCGGCCGTCTTCGCCTTCTTTCATTGCATAGTTGGAGTTGCATTGAGTGATAGAACTTTTCGTTAATTTATATTTCCTTGGGCTTCTTGCAGAAGCTACACCTTTGCCATTTGGCCGCAGTTTGGTTGTGTTGAATAGCACCCTTTAAATGCGCATCCACGTGTTGATTATCACTTACGCTTCTCTTCGTGAAATTGTGCTTTGCTAGTTTTGCCAAAAAGTCTCAAATCTTTGCAGCTGGTCTGAGGGTAGTGAGTAAAATAATCGCAGGCCGGCGAATACCCATTCTGCTGGTATAAATGGCTCCAAATTTAAAGGCAAAAGCGAGACATCGTGGGTATGTAAAGATCACCGTTGATCCCCTCACCTTGAGATGCGTACATTGCGCGGTGATACAGTGCTGCGAATGCCAGTAGACACCCACCACAACAATGTAAAATAGGAAATTTCCACTCTTCCTGCTTAAAGGTGTCCCATCCTCTAGTTTGTTTAGAAATCTTCTGTGCATCTGGAACGATTGGCTAGCCATCACACGCGAGTAATAAAGTGGTCGGTTTGTTGGGCAACACTACTAGTCAGCTTAGGCCGAGGCTATCGGCTGGTGAAAATATTGTTACTTATAGCCCGGTTTCAACAGTAAGCGAGCAGTGAGTCGTACTGCTTTGCATCCTGCTTGCACGCCACACCAAAGAGCGAAAAGGTGCTTGTGCCTTTGTAACAATGAGTGGCCTGGTGGCCCCACCGGTCTGCCGGTCCAGCAGTGCGTGCTACTCACGAAAACCTCCCAAAGACCGAGGCGACCTTTAGCTTGATTCCAGCTCGGTGTAGGTAGCACCGCAGCAGCATCAGTGCATTTAGACAATGGTTTGAAGCCGGTGATTCGTATTTGCTGCATTGTAACACGAAGTCCGCACAAGTCCAACACGGGTGACCCGGCCTGCCGATGGCCGTAGCATAGCTGTGATCGATCGTAGAGCCATCAACACAGCGCTTGTGTGTCAGTCGTCTAAACTTGATCCTTTTGTGACTCGAGAGCTCCTCACAATGTTGTGTTTCACATTGCGTTCTACTCTGTTTTGTGTTCTTTTTTACAATCAATTTTTGTTTTGTTTTCTTGTTCTCCCATGTAGATAATTGACTTACGCATCAGTATTTTTTATTTGTTGTCACTTGTTCAGCCATACACGCCCTGCGGCTTTACATTTTCAGCCTCTTTGTACCGGCATATGCGTCATCGTCGTGTAGTGAAACAGCTTGTGCGTTTTGCACTGTCCAAAGATTTCGTCTCGCCTCGCTGGCATGTCTGTGCTGTATTGTAGAGTGTCGGAGATATTAGTGCTTCATTGAATTAAAACTACTAAATCCTGAGCAGGCTTCCTGCTGCGCATTTCCTATACAGAATTACTTATTTTCTTTTGCTCTCATGCCCTCAAATACGTGTTAGACTATCCTTCACACCCTGTATCTGAAAAGCAGATGGCTGATCCAGATTCTCTAAGTGTGCGGCATTTGCCGACATTTTAGTATCCTTGAGCAGACCTGTTCGCGTGCCTGTAGACTTATCCAATTACCATGGGGCTTCATTTGTAAAGGTAACCGAAGCCTCTCTTGTATTTTATGCTCGAAACGGAAATGAGATCCTCTCAGCCTCAATTTTTTGTTGAAATAGTTGACGATCATTCTTTCTGAAGAAATGGCGCATAGTTTGAGAGGTAATATGAAGAAATCTGAGCAAGTTCTTGCTCCATGGGTCATAAAAAAAAAGAAGAAAAGGAACATGTTGAGTGCACGTATTCTCTACGTGTCGCCATACCTGTGTCAAACAGTTATTGCCGCCAAGCAACTATTGCATTGCACGCAGCCCAATTTAGAAATTTCCTAGGACATAATCTCTACGTTTGAGGGTTGGTCGTGTTACGACCCGAGTGTGTACTTTCAAATCTGGACGTTTATTGCATAGCTTCTGGCAACGAGCACAGGAAGTGTTCCTCAAGTCTTGCCTCTATGCTCGGGATGTGGCAAAACTCTTGTCACGATTTTAATCATTCTGAAAGCTGCCGCAAGCTTCCATACTTGTAATTTTCCTAGTACCGTCAGGATTTTCATTTCTGCAGAAGCACTGCCTAGCTGTTTCAACCGCCATCTTGATGTGATTCTTGGTATATCGTTTATCAAACTTTCCAAGACTGCAACGAGGAATGTGGGTTTGCATGCTCTCGTATTTTATGATTGGCCTCTGTCAGTTTCAGTCCTATGACTTCTGCCTGCCTTTTATTAAGTGCAAAAATTCTTTTCAAGCTCTTTGCATCTTAAGGGCTGTATTAACATAAGGTGAATGTGTCTGCACTGGCTGTACTGTTTGGTCGCTTACGTTTGGCATACAGTACGTCTTGCTGGAGCTTACACTGCTTCATATGCATATGTTTATAAAACCAGTGATTGGAACAACTTGCTCAGATGAAACCAGTCGTACAAGTATTAGTTCACCGATTCATCTGAATCGATTTTTGGCAGAGTGCTGCTTTGGTGTGCATTAACTGCTTTGTATTTGAGTTTAGATTAGTCCGAGTCTTTTCGACAGTGGTATTCCCGTCGTTTGTACTATGTTGCTGTAATGGCTCTTCGCTTCCAGTGCTTCGTGCAGTAGTCATCGTGTATTGGAATACAATTTGTCATCGTTTGTTCTAGTATCGAGGAAATTGTAAATTACGATGGTCGAGCATGTGTTTTGTTGCGATGTTTTCTTTTTGGTATATAAAAAAAAATACTGCCGTTTCACATAGCAAAATACTCACACGCACACATCGCAAAGGGCACCAGACAGTGGCGAAACTGTTTGGTGCTTGGTGTGTGCACATGTACATAATGTAAATGCAAGTTGTTTTGTGGACAAGGCATCGTCGTGACTTTTGTCTATACCCGCTTTTGTCTGCATTGTTTACTTTGAGTGCATTCGTTTTTATTTTTAATTTTCTTTGCATGTGTGCAAGTTGGACAGGCTGAGAACATGCATCAACTAGCAATGTGTTTTGCTATGGTATGGATTGTGAGTGTAAATGTTTCACGAGGCTTGCTACTTTTGTCAACTTTGGGGAAAATGGGAATTGTGCGCTGAGGCTTCTTGTGACTCGCACTGGCTTATGGGTTGACTTTTTTTTTTTGTTGTCCTAACAAATGCAGCTAAAGTTTATTGCGATTGCTGTGTTGAGCATGCGACCGAATGACAACAATGTTGAGGCACGGGTTTTGTGCTCAGCACCTGCAGAGCATGTGTGCTCTAGTAAAAAATGGCCATTTCGTCTTCATCCAAGCGCTTAATGCAGAGCGCAATGTTTTCTTTGTAAAATTCTTTTTGTCACGAGACAGAGGTGTTTAGCAATGTTTGTCTCTGTGTCGCCATGGCGACTTGAGTTCTTGTTTAACGGTTACTGTGGCTGTGGTGTTCTTATGCTATAAATCACAGCCTCTCTGTGTTCCTTCTTGATGCTTCAGTGTGTGTCACCTTTTATGCAGGTGTAATACGAAGTCAAGAGTTCGACGGAATGCCGTCTGGTCAGGTAAAGGCATTGTTGAAAAAACAGGTCACTGACCAATGTCAAATAAAAACAAAGACGTTTCGGGATCCGTACGGGTCCCTTGTTCACAATGGGATGACGGCTGAGCAACAGGTTTTTATGTAACGTTGAGCGCATGACGCAATGTCCGGGAGTACACGTGGTTTAGTGTGCCAGATGATCTATTGATTGTGTTACTTGTCGTTTGAATGATTAGTGATTCGAGGTTCAGTCTGGTTGTAAAATTCTTCTCCATGGCCATGATGCGTGCGTTGTCCCAGCTTATCTCGTGGCCCGTCTTCTCGGCATGCTCTGCGAGTGCATTTGTCAATGTGTGGCCCTTGGCGACGTCATTCTTGTGTTGCATCAGACGTCTGCAGTAATTTCCACTCGTGCCAATGTACACCGATTCGCAATCGGCGCATGGTATCTTGTAAACAACACCAGGAAAGTGTTGCCGAGGGAGAGGATCCTTCACATTTAGCAACTCAGCCTTAAGCTTGCTTGCTGGAACATGCGCGATCTGTACACCACGTTTTCTGAATAGACGGGCTAGGGCTTCGCTTATATTTCGAATATAAGGAATCGATGCACGCTTTTTCGTAGACGATGTGTTATGCATGGCTTGACTAGTTGACTGCAGTTTATTCATGACGGATTTAGTTGTTTTCCTAATAAAAACCTTGGGGTATCCATTCCTGATCAGGTCATCTTCAATGGTCCGGAGCTCCTCCTGCAGGCTTCCTTCATTGGAACAAGTGCGAATCGCTCGTTGAACTAAAGACCGAATCACTGAGCGTTTGTGGGCTACCGGGTGGACTGACTCATAGTCGAGGTATCTACCGGAGTGCGTTGGCTTTCGGTACACAGCGAAGGCGAGGCCTGTGGGAGTACGTTTTACAACTGCATCCAAGAACGGGAGGCAACCGTCTTTTTCTTCTTCCACAGAAAACTTGATAGAGGTCTCGATGCCATTTAGGCAGTCAAGGAAAGCTTGGACGTCTGTCTTCTTTATCACGCAGAAGCAGTCGTCGACGTATCTCAGAAAAACCTTGGGTCTCGGCTGAAATGTTTCCAATGCTTTCTGCTCAATTGCTTCCATTGTGATATTCGCAGTTGTGACCGAAATCGACGCTCCCATTGCGGTACCGAAAACTTGCCTGTAGAATTCACCCTTGTACGAGAAGTAAGTGTTGGATAGGCAAAACCGTAACAAGGTGCACAGCTCGGTGACGTCGAACGGTGTGCGATCGGCCAATGTCGTGTCTTTGTGAAGCAATTGTCTGGAAGTGTCTACAGCAAGGTCGACGGGAACACTTGTGAAGAGGGAGCAGACATCAAATGAAACCAGTACTTCGTCGACATCCACAGTGATACTCTTCATTTTGCTTATGAAGTCATTGGTGTTCCGGAGGTTAGTTTCAGTCTTGCCTGCAAGGGGAGCCAGGATGCCGTGAAGATACTTTGAGAGGCTGTACAGGGGTGACCTAGTGAAATCTACTATGGGTCTGAGAGGCGTGAACAAGGGACCCGTACGGATCTTGAAAACGTCTTTGTTTTTATTTGACATTGGTCAGTGACCTGTTTTTTCAACAGGTGTAATACGAAATGCTCGCCCAGCTTTGTCCGTCCCTATGATCGCACCAGCAGGATCATATTGACAATGCTTGCTGCAATTTTATCCAGCATAATTAGCCAAGGCTTGCTGCCTTGTCTGGTTGCATGCGGGCACTCACTTTACACCAATCCTATTTGAATTTATTTTCAATAGAGTCCATTCTGTATGGGGACGTTCCGTGACACTTGCCTGAATTCTTCGGATCGGGGTCAAATGTTTCAGTGTAACTTTTGCTGTTCTCCGTGATGCTTTGGTACATTTTTTTACAGCTTTTGTCAGAAATCTAGATGCCACTGTTACTGAGTACATGTACAGTGATCACGCATTGAAACGGGACCTTTTACACCAAAGTTACGCACATCCTCTTGTTTCTGTTCTACGGATCGTTTCATATCAGTGTAATCTCTACTCAAACATTTACAGCAGAGCCAACATTACCTTTAGTGGCCACATTTGTAGTGACAAGAGCTGCCTTGAGAAGTGGCACACATGAGTCGTAATACCAAAAGTCTTGAATGTAGCATTTCAATGCATGAGCACAGTAATGTGACCTTTGCACCCTTGTCACAACCTTTCGAGAGTCGTATTGAAGTCCCCAATTGTTCATTGGAACTCGGAGCTTACACCCTGAAGTTGAGTTTGTGTGATGGCACATTTCATCAATGATGTATGCAACTATGATTCCCAAGAGAATGACTTCATCCAGTAGTTAGGACAGTTGATGTCGCTTAATGCTTCTTCTTTGATGCATTATGTTTCGTGAAAGGATTACCTGTAACTTAGCCAAGTTAAACTGTAATATAGACAACAGCAGACATTTTTTCCCACTGGACAGATTAGGAAATAGTGCTAGCAACTTGGTCATATGGAAAGTTACTGGGCTGCATCCTAGAATCCCTGCTCCCCTCTTCTCTGGAGAATCAACTGAGGGGTAATGCTTACTGGCATAACTTTTTTTTAAATTTATCTTCAGTATCTTTATTATTGTTTTTAAGAATTATAGTTAGCTTCAACTGAATTGGAGGAGATCACTGGCGATTCGATGAAACAGCATTAGATCACTTTCTTTTCCTGGAGAAGCAACCTTTACTCGCTCAAATATGCCATTGAGATTTTTGTTGTATCCATAGATTGAATGGCTCAGAGGTGTGTAAATCACTCTCAGGATCAAATGTGGAGGAGCTTCAGCAAGTTTGCGGAGAAAGTTTATCTGGGCAATTTGCTCTCTATTTACATCACCAAAGAAGTGGGTTAAGAAGTTGGCCGATCTCCGGGACGGCAAAGTTGTTGAGCAATGTAACAACATTCTTGCCAAGTAACCAACACTTCTTATTAAGTTATGCTTACAGTTCAGTGCTGCAACTTGTTCTGCAGAACGAAACCTCTGTTTTAGGCTCTGAGCTCCAATGAGCAAATGATAGACTAAAAAAAAAAAAAAAGATTTTGGTGCCATAAGCTTGAGTGTGTGTATCGCAGAAGCGGTGTTCCTACAGCATTGTCAGCGTCTTGAGGGTCTACGAAGTGAAAATAGGAGTGTGGAGATAGTTGAAATATGGTTATGCCTTGTTTGATTCTCCCTTGAGTCGAATAGTTTAGCTGTAAATAAGGATAGTTTCATCGCAGTCTTCAGATACAGTAGTGTCTCGATGAGTGAACATTTTGCAAAGCAAAGGCTCACTTGTTGTAATGACGAAACGTGCATTTGCAAAACATGACCGACAGCGTAAAGCCACTTGCAAAATGAACCAAGCTAATTTTTCAAGCTAGCATTTTATTTCATATTGTGAACTTTTACACCAGGCATGAAACTGCTAGAAAAAAGTGTGATAATTTTCATCTCTGTGGCTGTGGTAGACATATAAACAATTTTATAATGAAACACTCTCTGTTGCTCAGATGCCAAAATCTTCCGGCAGGGCTGTTACAATTCACACTCGCCAGTGAGTAAGAAATCTACGACCAAAGCAATTATTTGCCCGTAATACTAGTTTTGAACTTTCAATGAGCAAATCTTCACAATGTGCAGTGTAGTGACAGCTGAAGCATCCTTAATTGTTATGAAAGTTCTAGGATGTGATAATTGTTTCAAAGAAATTTTCCCTCTATCCAAAGACTATAGGGTTTGATTAGCTTTTGGCAAAATTAGCTTTCATTATTCAGCCTAAAAACTTATCATTTGTTAACCACTCGTTGAGAACTATTGCTCTCTCGAGAGTGCTAATGCTCCAAGCAAAATCTATTGCCCTCTTGAAGAGTCGGTTGCTCTGTAAAGAGCCAATTTCCCGTTGAAAGCAAAAGTGCAGCCGGACTTATTAGCCCTTATAACAGCTTGAAGCTCGCCATATGCCTCCATTTTTGATGAAAACATGCATATTCTCTAAATACGTAAAACAAGCACATGCAAAATGTTGTTGGACTTGTAGGCCTGCAATGCCGGCTACAACACCACAGTGCCTGCAGGAAGAGCACTGGATCTATGGCTATCACAACAAAGGAAAAATATTATTTTATGAAGCATAAAAAATTACCAGGAAATTGGGCAAGTTGAGTTGAATTGCTTTTTATATACACAGACAAACCGTGATATAGTGAATACAGATGAAATTAACCATCACTCATCACAAAGCAAATAAAAGATAATATTGGAGAAATTGCATATTCATAACAAAGTTTTGGATATAATGGGTATACTGTTGTCTAATGCAGCTTCTATATGAAATATGACTCTAAAACAGTAAATGGCACACAATTATTGTGTGCTCCTTGTGTCACTAGTCCTAATACTGTACTTTAAATAATAGCTTTCCATGGATGGTTTTTTATCGGCTGGATTTGGAATTTGAGCATTTTTCTAGGCAACCAAAAATGAGGATGCACCAAAAAAAGATTCACTTTATTGTTTAGAAGTGAGGTGTTGAGCGTCCCCCCAGTTTGGTTCTCTCTCATACTCGTTGTTCGAAGGGGAGTTTCAGCTAGTGTAACCAGAGATCTCTGCCTCAAACGCTGTAGGAATGCCATGTCGCGTCTGGCAACGACTCTAGTCACCTGCGCTGTGGCATACTTTAATTGTGGCTCTGTACATGTATTCCGTGTTTGTTAATAGGTGTAGAAACCATCTACATACTGAGGCCCTTGTAAAGATGGCGTGGCACACCAAGGAGCGTCTCGCGTAAACGCGCAGGATACGTTGTTACGAGAGCTTCAGTATGTTGATGGCGCCTGCCTTTGTTTACAAACATGGCATGCGTCTACATGTGTACAACTCGCGTTTACTTATGTGTCAAGGGTAGTGGCGAGACGGTGAGAGTGACATCAAGGGAAGGTATGAAACATTCTTGTTGCACGTAAACTCGGCTGTACCCAATGTCCTCAAAACAAGGTTGATGTCTTTCGTTTGTTAGTTGAACGCCAGTGCTAAGTCCTCAGCTACGGTGACACGATTGTTTACATTGTGCATATTGTGCGTGTGTGTTTTGCTTCTAGTGAATGGCGAACAGCTTTGCCCTAAAGAACACTTCACTGTAGCATAGCATGGGTGCATTCTGATAGTTAGCACCTTGTAAAAATTGTACAGGATGGTTGCTACACTCGGGCACGTCTTTAATTTATGTCCGCTTGTGTTGTTTTTTTTTTTTTTTGCTTCGCCATGGTACTTACTTTATTCCATGTGGCTGTTTTTGTTTTATGCAGGTTTCCTTATGGAACTCTTTTTCCAAGCTTAGTTTTATTAATCTCTCTTAAAACTTTCAGGCAAATGACTTGTGGGCAGCAATGTTGCTTTCAGTCGGTGCAGGGTAGTCGTCAGTCTTCAACGCGGAAGCGTGCGCATGCATTTGTCATACGGTAAGGTACCTAGCAGTGAAGTAGTTGCTGTCTGACACGGCCCCTATTTTACCATCCAGCCAAAGGTTTGGTTCGAACGCCGGTGAGGAGGTCATGTCTGAAGTTGTCAGAAGCTTGTCTTTGCGACTGGATGCTGTATTCCCTCTCCACCACCTTATGCACAAAAACTAGGTGTGGCAACGAATCACAGGCAGCCAGCCATCTTCACGGGCTGTCTCCAGCTCCCAGTTATTCCAGCCAAAAGGTCTCGGCTCTTGGCGGATCCCGTGATTTCAGCCCGAGATAGTCCCAAATCGTGCTCCCATGCCGCCACAGCGCTTTTTCTTTTTTCAAAGGAGGTAGTGGTGCAGCGCAGCTGTCCCAGAGAGCCTTGAATGCCGTTGGCTCTAGATGCAACAGGAGGAGGTTGCTTTGCGGCGCCCCTCAATTTTCCCCGTCGGTCTGACATAGCACCGTATAGGCACGCTGTTCTTCGTTCTCTCGCGCATTGAGTGGGATGTGCGTGTTTGTACAGAAAAAAAAAAAAAACGAGATGCAGCAGCTTAGAAGCAAATGCACCTTTAGATCTGCACAATCAACTCGTTGGTTACCTAGATTTCCCCAGAGCGTAAAAAGCAGCAGCAGTGTAGAAGTAAACGTGGCAGCACCTCTTTACACCTTGTTCAAACCCGTGATGCAGTGGAGCCAGCGTCGTTCTCCCCAACCTCGATGACACCGGGATGCCAAGAGAACTGTTGCGTGCGCTCGTTTAACTGCCAGGCGTGGCTAGCGCGTCATCTCCAGCCTTCGGTTTCATTTTTACTTAGTCGTCGTTCCATAACGGGATCTCAATGTTGCGCAGAGCTTTCGATTGGGACGCAAGCTAGTCGGCTAGAGATGCCCCGCAGCTCGTCCTGGCACTTGTAACTGACATGGTGTGTGTGGTTGTTGTTGTCTCCTTCTGTGACGAAACTGGGCGAGTTTTCATTGCCGATCTGTGTTTGCGCCGTGCAGGGTTTGGCCACTGGGCCTTGATGCCCGCATGCCTGCTTCGTGTGTAAGTGTTCACATTTAGATACCACCCCCCTCCGTTTAGGAGAGGCGGAACCGGAAGACGTGACCTCGTTTGGATGATTAGGAAAGAGAAGACTTTTTCTTAGACTTTTGCGGCGGTCTGTGCAGGCACAGGAGATGCAATTTTTTGTCACGGCGGTTCGCGTGACAACTCCTGCACGCGACATCATCCTGCCTCTTGAGGAGCCATTGGAAGCAGAGCGATGGCCTCTCTGTAGTTTTCAGACAAAGCGATGTAGCAGCAGAGTTAAGCAATTTGTCTAGACACACTGCACTTACACACAAACACACATACACAAAATGTGTTGGCCAGACCGGTATGTGCTGGTCGTCATTTACAGTGAGGACTTTAGGATGAGGGAAAAGTGCAAAAGGATGTTATAAATATATACATAAGGTTACTCACACAGTATATGTATATAAAATAAAAATATTGACAACAAGATTGGTGTGAAGTAGAAGCATTTGTAAACTCTGTACATTCAACTGTGTCTGTTTTGAAAGCATGGTCTTTAAAAAGAAATTGAAAAAAACTGCAACGTGCTGGTGGCACACAGTGGCCCTCAACCATAGGTGTTAGGCTCCTGAATCTGGTGCTGGCACGACTGTTCTGATATATTTTGTCTGTGGTTCTCATGCCCTCGTGGACATTGCTGCTAATAAACTCATCTGTGATGCAAAGAGAGAAAAAAGAAAAAAAAAAGTACAGCAGAAAATGTTGTTTCAGTTCTTTCGGTGAGAACAACACTGACCGATGCATCTTATAGTATATACCACCTATGTGGCTTCAAGCAGGATATCTACGAATGTTCTGGTAAGATGGTTTTCAACGTGCCAGCAAAGGTGCCCATTGGAATCCACCACCTCTTCTGCTTTATTTGGCTCTCGTCAATAACCGAGTACACTGCCATTGCAAGCTGAATTCGATTTCAGATCAACACTGGTTGCCTATATGAATTAGTGCACCATTTAGATGATTTCATTATATATGCCAATTTTATTGTTGCGTGAATTAGTGCAACGTTTATTTGGTAATTTCATTATAAGCTTGGTTGAGTGTACCGTGCACATCTAGCTTCTATGTCATGTTCAATGTACAAGTGTGGTAGTTACTCAATGGTTCGGGAAATTGCCATTTTAAGTGGATTTAAAGCTTGTTGCTTTTACTATAGACGTGCCCATGGTTCCCCTTCGAGGAGAAGGGGGCGAAAGTTCATCCCTTCTTCTGAAGTCGATGTGCGGGGCACACTGCGTCCCCTCGCCCTTCGCTAGCGGCCGTCTATCTGCGCTGGGCCCCCTCCCGTGACATATAGCGTCATACTACAGTGCCCTAGGTCGCTCTAGTCATACTCCGCGGTACAGACCCATTTAATGGCGGCATTCAGAGCCGCTAAATCGTGGCAGCAGGGCGCTCTCGGCGTCATGAGATCTGACAAAATGGCCGAAACATTTGCCCGAGACCATGAGGTCAGTTGACGGGTGCTACCAGAACTGGTGACGTGTTCGTTTTACTTTTTACTTGGGGAAGTGCACGGGGCGATAAACTGTCTAGAAAAAAAAAACATCCATGGACAGTAAACCGATTTGCAAGATTTCTTCACGTTTTCATTTTGAACCAAACTACACTGTAACCTAACTAAAAGCATGCCGCCGCCATGAGCAGATCGAACGCACTGTCTTTCCGTTGAATGATTTAGCCCTTCGGCTCTAATATTCATATCATCAACACGTTCCACAGATACCGTTTTTGAATGTTGATTGATTGATTGATATGTGGGGTTTAACGTCCCAAAACCACTATATGATTATAAGAGACACCCTAGTGGAGGGCTCCGAAAATTTAGACCACCTGGGGTTCTTTAACGTGCACCCAAATCTGAGCACACGGGCCTACAACATTTCCGCCTCCATCGGAAATGCAGCCGCCGCAGCCGGGATTCGAACCCGCGCCCTGCGGGTCAGCAGCCGAGTACCTTAGCCACTAGACCACCGCGGCGGGGCTACCGTTTTTGAATGTCTGAAATAAATCATGTGATTATAAGCGAAATCTCCTGATGGCAAGGAGCTAGAATGTAGCAGATTGAGCCAACGATTGCCTTTTTCAGGTTGCTACCTTGGTGTAATTTCATAACTAGATCCCATCGTACTGTCATATCTTGCCTTAATTACTTGGATAGCAGAGGTATCGCCCTCCCGACTCTCTGGCAAGAACAATTGTCGAAACGTAAAGCCAATCGATTCTAGCTGCTACAGTGCATGCACAAATTAACACTTCGAAGCGTGCGCGCTCATCCCGCGAGTATGTATATTTCTTCTTTCGGCCGTTCCGCGCATTTGACATTTGCATTGCGCTTCCCGTAGACGAGAGGTCGCTTTCCGTTCTAACAAGCGTCCAGAAAGCTTGCAAACAACGCGTGTATTTTTTTTTTTGCTTGTTTCGTTTTGTGGCGCTGACTTTGAAAGCGCGTTTTTTTTGTTTAGTTTGGTCAGCACAAACTACAGTAAACAATTCAATACCGGAGACAAACTCTGTGTGAGAAATTTGTTGTTTCGTTTGGCGAAAAAAAAAAATACTAAGAAAATTATGCGAGCGGGTCTAAAACGTTACGACGCGTCCTGCCTCATTGTTTGACGGGGCCCATTGTGCGTTTTGACAACTGGCGCTTCGGGCGCGCCGCTGGCGTGCGCTCTCGTCTCCGCGAATGAGTCACACTCCACCAACTCCACTGCGCGCCGCCGCTGGTTCTCTGACTACGCTAGCAGACGACAGCACTCCGACGGGCCCTTCCTACCGGTGCGGACTTCGACAGCTTCTCCGCGTAGTGCTCTGCCCAGCAGCTGCTCACTCACCGCAATGGATGATATCTGGAGCTCGTACGCGAAAGACACCGGCGACGATTCGCCCAACGCGCAGAAGAAGCCTCTCGTCTCCGAATCCGTGAATGCGCTGAGCGAAGACCTCGCCCAGTTTGCTACCGGCAGTGCGGTGACAGATGCGGCTCGGAGCTCCGCTTCTTCAGCCTCCCACGGCGGCGATGCGGTCTCTACGTCCAAGGATAAGCACGATCAGCTAGATCTTCTTTCAGATTTCCAGCCGAACGCCGTCACGGCGAGCTCCGCTGCGGACACTGGCAGCACGCCGCTGGCCTACGGCGATTTATTACATGACGCATCGCCTGGCGAAGGGGCTCCGCCGTTGAAGCCTAGCGCGCCGCCAGCGCCCGAGAAGGTCGCGCCAGCGGCGGCCGAGCCCGATTTAGAACTCCGTCCCGAGCCGAAAAACCCGCCTCCACCCAAGCGGACAGCGCCGGAGGAGTTGTTGCCCGTAGCGGACGTTAAGCCTACGCCCGTCGCATCGTCTACGAGTACTAGGCCTAAAGCGGCCGAAATGCAGCGAGAAGCGACTTCGACCTCGAGTTTTTCGAAGAACAGGCCGTCGTGTTGCATCTTTTCGCCAGGTGAGTGAGTCGAACGCACGCCACATTACGCTGCGCTACCGTCGTTCCGTCATGTCGCCGCCGCCGATGTGTCGCCCCGAGGATTGCGCAATGCACATCGATGAGTTTTGACGCGCAGAGCACGATCAAAATCAAAACAACCGCCTTCTTTTCTTTCTCCTTTTTTTTTTTAAAGCACCCGGCATGTCCAGCAATCGCGTGGATTCAGGCAAAGCACGTCAATGGTGCTTGTGGAAAGTGCGTCACCTTGCTTTATGAGATGCGGAACTTGATACGGAAAACCGGTTATTCGCTGCTGCTGTTGCAATGATGCGCATTGTTGTTGTTGTTGGTGGTGGTGTGTGGACCTGCTTGTGTATTTGTGTTTTCTCAACAGAAAACTAACAGTTGCATGGGCTCGCAAAAAAATGCATGCATCAATTCCGGACTACGTCGGACCATTTACGTAGGTTTATTCTAACATCGATCAGAGGTCGCAAGAGGCTGCTTTTCAAAACATCAATCAAGACGGACGCAGTTGCAATGGCGCTACGGCCGAGCGGCGACGGGGCACGAAGGCCTTGAGGTCTAGGCCCGCGTGACATTAGGACTTCTAGTGTAACGTGAGATAGGGTGAACCCCACGCCCTGCGCGGCCGGAGGGAATCCCGCATGCTGGAACCCAATAAAGTTTATTCTCTCTCTCTCTCGACGAAAGCGACTCTACTGAATGGTCGCGGGTTCGAATCTCGATCGCGACGCATTCGAACTGACCATGGGTGCTCGCTTTTTTCGCATCCGTGGTCCAAAGTAATGCAAAAACAACTTGTGAGCTCGCGTAAAATGTGCGCGTGGGATTTTTTCCATGCGTCGCTGTACGTGAAGTTCGCTACAGCTTAAAACACCGGTCTCCTTTTTTATTTTTCTTCTTCCGTGCAGCGCGGAGGTTACGTAAATAGCGAAACACGACTCGGTCGCCGGCGCCTTGAATTCCGCGTTTCCTCTTGGAGGTCAGACGATGAGGCCGACCGAGTTCAAGTTCACCGCCCTCCCCCACCAGAGGAATGAGGAAAAAGAAATATATAAGGGAAAGAAGTGTATATGATATTGAGGTCTAGCCGAGATGTTTTTTACAGTGCCTTTAGATCCAGGTAGTACCATTTCTAGAAAACCGTTACATCGGCTGGAAAACTGATCGTGTAATCTAATTATGTGTTATTAGAATGAATGGAGGAAGTGGCTATATATATATATATATATATATATATATATATATATATATATATATATATATATATATATATATATGTATATTAATGAGATCTAACAGACAGTAATGCCAAGGAATAATGTACAGGGGAAGTTATTAGAACCAATGGAAGTAAATGAGAAGAAAGAAAAGTGGATTCTTAGACGCAATATTAATGAAAACTGAAGGACGACGATGCCAGAAAAAGTCGAAGGTCGCAGGTTCGTTCACTACGGAAAGTTATTTTTTCGTCCGTTTGCCGCCGACAGTGGACACAACTGAGGTGAACATAATTAACGCCCGCAGTTAATTTACGTATTTGTTTTTCTGAATTTGATGCCAGCTTCGTCCCGTTTTTTTCTGGAACGTAAACCGGTTGTGCGAAGCCATTGGCGGAAACTGTGATTGTTCGTCCTTTCGAATCCGTTTCAATTAACCGAATGGTTCGTTTGGCTTTTTGCCATTGTCTAACGAAGGAAAGAGTCGCTCCGAGAAATTCCCATTCTGTTTATTCGATGGCCCACGTAGTAAAAGTAACTCGATCGCAGTGAGGTAGCACACAATTAAATACATACTGGCCTATTCCCTTGCTTCTCCGTGGTCCCTAATGATACGTCGACTGCCTCAGCAAGCAGCAGCCATGTTGAAACACGGCTGCCCCAACCAATAATGTCTTCTAGAAAATTTCTAGGAGGCGAAGCCCCCGATGTGGCATGTTGGAAGCAGTAGCCATGTTAACACGTTCGGGGAAAAGGGTCATTGACGTCCTCTTCTGGGTACACTACTCAGGACAGGGAACGTGATCTGTTGTCCATTATTCTGGTGCCCCCCCCCGGAATGCCGCTCAGACGGGTATCTTCTATCCGCGAGACAGGCTGGACGGGGGGCATTATGGAAGCTGGATACCACGTGGTTCTGCAGAAGCAGTCCTGTACCACAGTCCAGCGCACAGGCGGACGGAAATGAAAGGGGGGGGGGGGGGGCTAATTTTATACCACACCTTTAGCAAGGTTTTTTTTTGGGGGGGGGGGGGGGGAGGACTTTTTTATCAGTCTGACGGTCTCGGACCTGTAGCCATTGGCCATTGTTTGATTTGGAGGTGGGGGGCAACTTTGCTTCACAAAAATGGAGGAGGTACCTCCTGCGAACTCCTAGGCTTGTACCATTTATAATGCCCTGAACGTTACATGTTACGCAGTGATGTAACTTAGAAGTGTAGTTGTTGTGAGTCAAGTAAGCATAGCTGTGTGTGTGTGTGTGTATTTTCTGTTGTTACTGCCTGTTCTCATTAACATTGTGTCCAACGAAACGGGCCCTCAAATTTTACGCTTTCTTCCATAATTAGCACCCCGTAACTCCTTTTTGCACGAACCTCGATCTTAACAGACGGTAGTCTATGGTGGTGACCACACGTGTCTCTGTTTGTATTTCCTCGTCTTGAACAACGTGTGTCGTTGACCCCCTAACATCGCTGTAATAACACTTTGCAGGATCCGGCTGGAGTTCGGCATGTCTGCATCCTTGCGGTAAGCATACTGTGTGAATGCGTGTGCATGGTGTGGTGCTGTAGCCCAATTATAATTAAACGCGTTGTCATTAACCGAATGAATCTGGTGCTGCCATCGTGTCTGAACAAGCAGGTGAAGCCGCTAGAGCGTAATGGGTCAGTCCTGTGCTGCGTTGCTCACCCCTTGCAAGGCCGTGGATTCGATTCCAGGTTCGACACCTCGTGACGTGTTACCGTTGTCACCCGATTACGCTTACGGTCTGCATCGAACCTTTAAATCGCTTTTGTCAGTCATCGCTCTGGTGTCTCGGAGGACACGGTGTTATATGCCGGCGATGGCGTGAGTTCGACCCCTGGTCACAGTGGTGTCGCGTTTCGGTAGGGATTCAAGATACGAAGAATGCCCATGTATTGATATCTAATTGATATGTGGGGTTTAACGTTTCAAAACCACCATATGATTATGCGAGACGCCGTAGTGGAGGGCTCCGGAGATTTCGGCCACCTGGGGTTCTTTAACGTGCGCCTAAATCTGAGCACGCGGGCCTACAACACTTCCGCCTCCATCGGAAATGCAGCCACCGCAGCAGGGATTCGATCCCGCGACCTGCGGGTCAGCAGCCGAGTACCTTGGCCGCTAAACCACCGCGGCGGGGCTGTATTGATATCTATCTGCACGTTAAAGAACATTGGGTGTTCCTAAATTTCGTGGAGGAACCTCCGACACTCAAGGGTGTGCCTCGTAATCGCATATCATGGCTTTGACGCGCAAATGATGGAATTAGCTTCAGCTGCCATTAATGACACAATGGTCGTCAAGTTGAAAAGAATTTCAGCGCGATATAAGATGCCTGTGCTACAAGAAATTCGAAAAAAAAAAAAAAAACTGATACAGATGTCAGTTCGTGTCTCCAATCGCACGGTACACTTTCCATCGCGATCGAACCCATCGGTATTGTATACATTGCACGAGCGTTCTTAATTGCGATTGGCTGACCGAACAGGGCATTAACCGTCCGTTCGTTGCGAAATCTGTTGTGTGGGATTCGAACCTGCTACCGATGCCTTTCCTTGTCAGCGTTATGCAAGTATCTGATATGGTTATACGTAAGGGAGCTTTGTAGCGCTTGTGGCGGTTCGATGCCGTTAAAAAAAAAAAAAAAAAAAGGCTTGAACACGCGTTTGTAGCACTTAGCTTCGCAGTTTGTGCGGGATTCGAACCCGGTGCCAACTTCTTTCCAGGCTGTTGTTATGCGAAGAGCTTCGTAGAGAGATCATATTTTACGCCATGAAAAATGGCCCAGACAGGAAGAAAAACGAGGTAGCTCTAGGCGTTTTTTTTTTTTTCAACAACCAGGGAGCGCTACACGCGTAAAATCAAACGTGCAACTCGCTAACGCACCGGATCGAGCTTCTTCCAACGCGCCGTAATGGAGATGTGCGTGACGATATCTTCTCTCTCTCTCGTCTCCGCATCACGCTAGCGGCAGCGCGTATGCAATTCCGTACGAAAAAGGAAACAAAAAACAAAAAGAGCAAATCGGCACCACGCGAAACCTCTGTGCCGGCTGGGCCGACGACAGTCTCGTTCACAAAGCGTGAAATTTGGCGTGGTGGACGGCGGTTCTGCGTGCATCCCAGCTCTGTCACGACTCGCCCGTGCCTTGGGGTGCCTAGTTCTCGTTTGTTTCGTGTCCCCGACAGTACGGAGAGGAGAACGAAGGGAGGAAAAATGCGCCATATCTGCAGCCCTATATAGTTGGGAACAACACAGCGACGAAATGTTTTTGTTTTTGTCTCCCGAGGGCGATTGAGCGGCCTCGTACTGGTGCACTGTCGATCTCGATTAAGCCCGATCTTCATCGAATCGCCCAGCAGCGATTGGCTCACTTTTGCAGGCCTGCGTAAGGAAGTCAATCATTACCAAGAAATTCGATCCGTATCGTGTCAAATCGCGGTCAGAGGTGACAGCTTGATCAACGCCGGTGTAAGTATTCGCTACTGTGACACGATCCAACCATTTTCGCTGGATACACAGCAGATTCCACGCAATCTCGTGGATTTTTAATTAAGTGCCCCAAATTAAGTGCCCCATAGCACGCTTGTCATCAATGACAAACAGGCTAAAGATAAAAAAAAGAAAATATATATATTGCTTGCGGTCGGTAAAACCGATAGCGTTATCTTCCGGATGCTTGGATGAACTTGTGCGGCTTGATGTCAATTGATCGTCTCAAAACGACGGCAGGTTTTCAAGTTGTGAATGTTAAACCGAACCTACCGGATGGCATTTCAATTAGAAAACCGGAATAACTTTTTTCCTCTATTTCTTTTTTTTTTAAGTGGCGCTGCCGTCCGCGGTCGTAGGTGGCGTCAGCCGTCGCCCGATTTAAAGGTACAGCCTTATCAATTCATCCATCCATCGTAGGACTACGAGACGACGTCCACCGTCGTAACATTTTCCGACGCGACAGCCCATGGAGTTTCCTATGCGACAGCCCTGCTGGCGCGACGTCGTGTTATGTAGCAGTAAAATGGGGGCTATACGAAAATAAACGCACACACATGAAAGGCGGCTCGTTGTCGTGAACACTTTAGTCCACGGAGGAAGGAAAGGCTTGGGGGAGAGGGGTTAAGGCAATATATAGTTGTTGCTTGCTGGCCGGCTCAATCGATGCCCGCGAGCCCAGTTCAGCTACGCGACGAAAGCTGGCCGTAGCCGTCTCTGCTCTTCCTTTTTTTTTTTTTCGTCTGCTATCCGTCGGTGTACTTTATCGTCTGCTTCTGGCCGCCGCCCCTTGCTGCGTATACCTTCACTCGGTTTCGCACATACCTCGCTCATGTAGAGCAGCCAAGCTTTGTGGGTAATAATGCAAGGTCGCTGATTGGATAAAGTGCGTATTGTCGCTAAATACAGCAGGAGAAGAGGTAGAGATTAAAAAGAGAAAAAAGGAAAAAAAAAAGTGTCGGGGGAAAATGCGGCCACCGTAGCACGGCAGTTTCCAGGCGGAAAGTGGACGACGACGAGGTCGTCGCGACGGTGGCGCGCGCGGGCTTTTCCGATAGCGCGCATGCGCAGTCGAGCGCGAATCGGCGTTTGGGGAGGGGTGCGTTTTATTTGATTCCTTGCTCATCTGCGCGCCGCTGCCTGCCCCTGCTAGTTTCTCCGTCTTCGTCGTACTGCACCACCTCGCGGGACGAGAGTCTACCCCGGAGTCGGCCCCCTGTTTTTCCTCGGTAGTAGTGAGTGAGAAGTGTGTGTCTGTGGTGCACGCGCGCATCGTCTCTGTGAAACAAGTTGCCGCTTCGGGGCGCTGAGAATAACGGCACCGACTAACTCCGCCGGGCGTGTGGATTGTTTTTCGGACCGGTGAAGAGAGAGAGTCCCTTTCACAAATGGAAGCCGACAGCAGCAACGCCGGAGACGCCAAGGCGGCCCCGCAACAGTGCTCCTGCATTTTCAAGCGCTTTTTCGACGTGCCTCAAGGTGAGGACGTGACCCGTCTACCGTATTTCCTTATGATGGCTGAAAAGGATGTTCAGCGCTGCTTTACGGCAACCAAGATCGTGGTTTGGACGCGCTCTGCCATCTTTTTTCTATGCACGCCTCTCGTCTAGAGTTGCGCTGCACGAAGCGCGCGCCGCTGTAGCCCGAACAGTCTTTTTTTTTTTTTTTTTGTTGGAACGAGGAAGCCATTACAATAGCTGGAGAGTGCCCGATTGTTATTAGCGATGTAGCGCGGCCGTTAATAAATCTTTTGTCTCGGCTTGCAGGCAGACGCGGGCTGCGTTGTGATTCCCGATTGATTAGGCTCCGAATTGACGCGCCTTCGTCGTCCGGTGCCGCAGGTGAAGCCGCACCGCAGTTGCTCCGAGAGATAGTACGCGGTTTGTGGAAGTTTCGCAATGCGGGCCCGTTGTTGGACATGCCTCTCGGCCTGTGCACTTGGAATGACGTTGCATTGCAAAAAAAGAAAAAAAAATGCTAATCAGCGATTGCGTTGCGTCGACTTGCGCATGCTTATTTATTATTTTTTTTGTCTCGTTTCCCTGGATCTTTGAGTAGTTGCACGGCCCAGACATTTCGCGCGTTCTTAGCTACGTTCGTCTCGTATCTTTGTTTTTTTTTCCTTTGGCTTTTCGAGGCGTTTAATTACAACGCACGTATTCTTGTTCCTCGACTTTGTTCGAGCTTGAGGAAAAACGAGAATTAGCGGAGGAAAAAAAGAAGCGTGCGAAACGACCCCGACAATGAGGAGGAGAGGAAGAACCGTCGTCGTCGTTTTAGGACTTTTTTTTTTTTCTTTTGACGACGGGCGCGGAAAGCCCGCAGTTCCATTGTAATTCCATTAAAGTGGACAAGTGGTCCCTTGAAGAAGAAACCCTCCGTCGCGTATTGGTTGCCGTGTTTTTTCCAGCGGTGCAGTGCCGCATTCCTTGTCGGAGATGACCGTCTTCTGCTCGCGTGTGGCCAGATAAAAAAAATCTTTCTGTGCGTATTTAGGTAAACCCAAACGAGCTGCTACATCGCGTGCGTTTTCTTGCTTGACCCCCCCAGTCGAACACGCACTGGAGAACAGCGGCTCCTCGGAAACGCCCCTTTGCTTGTATCATTGACATTGTCGCAACAGCGGCCGTTTGACCTCTAGCTCTGTTTCTCCCTAGAAACAGGGTGATCTGAAAGCAAGAAAGAATAGCGAAATAGCAGGTCTAGTAGCACGCTTCTGCAGACCAGGCTTGACTCCGAGTAAAAGATAATTCACTTGGGCAGTTTACTTAAATTGTTGGGATAGTTTGTCGTACATGTTTTTGAGAGGAGTAGGGCGATAATTAAGAAAAGACGGACAAACATGCAATGTCTGTGTAAACGCGAAAGGATGGACTGACCAAAAGAATGTCTCTGGCCACGTTTCCCTAAATTTTGCGCTATTTTCGCAAGCTTACCCTGGCTGCTAGAGGGAACCCAGTGTTTATTCTCGTTTAGAAGTAGTGTACAGGAGGAGTTCTCTGTCTACGCAC